AAAACGTTTTTGTGTATGGTATATACCTACACTAAAAAAATTTTTTTATCTGAAATTCAAATATAACTGAGCGCCTGCATTTTTATTTCCCAAGTCTGGCAACCCTACTTTAAGTGCATGAATTACAAGAAAGATGGGGAAAAATTAATTAAGCATTCAAGGACCTGGAAAAAGGTGCAGCAAAATAAGCCAAAAGAGAGGAGGAGAAGAAGGAGATTGAAGGCCAAAAGTAAAGTAATGCGGGCAGGCAAGCTAATAAAAACAGTAGCCCTAGTTTCAAAAAATGAAAAGTTGACTCACTGGCAAGAGCAATAAAATAGACAAACTTCTGACAAGTTGAATTACATTAAAAGAAGCAGCAAATAACACTTGAAGCAGAAATGGGTAGAAACGGGCTTGTTTTATATTACAGGGACTTTATTCTAATAAAGGATTTTCTGAACATTAATTACTAAAATTTGCTTAGGAAAAAAGTTAAAAACTATACAAACAGAACTGATAGAGGGGAATTGTTGGTCAATTCCAATATACCTTTGTGAATTAGATAATTCTTAGGTTGTTTAAACTCTTCTACATCATAGAAAAATATCAATACTTTCCAGGTCATTTTGAAGCTTGCCAAACTCTGATACAAAAACTGAGCAAGGGTTAGTCTCATTTTTGCATCTTTACAAAGTCCTTTATTATATCTTCTTTTGGGGAAAATAAGAGGCTTGTAGAATAAGCATGTAAAATATTATTCCGTTAGTATTTTTTTAAATGTTGTATTTGTTCCTAAATAGATTTCTATTTTTGCATGTATATTGGTAGGATATACTTAGAATAAAGGATCTGGAAGAATATACATAAAATTACAAGTATTAATATAGTATTTGAAGGATAAAAGGGGATTTTTACCCTGTGCATTATAATGGGTTTTGAATATTTTTACAAATTGCATGTATTTCATAACATAAAAAATTGGTTTTAAATGTACTTCCACTCCTTTAAGTAAGTTGTAAGAATCCTTAAAGGACTATACACATATAGTCTTTATTAAATCACAAATGAAAATATTTTATACATTTCCAATTGAACCAAGTGAAATTTTCCAAATTATTATTTGATTATGTATCCACTTTGTAGGAAATAAAGCAAATCCTGAGGTATCTCCCATTTCATTTTCAATGAGTAAGATGTTGTGACCCTGACTCAGCTTTTAGTTTTGGGGAATAATTTTATCTTAGAAATTGACATCACAGTGACCCTGCTCAGCACATCCTGGTGTTTTTCATGCGCCTGTGTCGCAAGGCTCGGGACGCTTCTTCCTCAATGTTGCTTCATCTTTATGGAAATAAAGAAGCTTGGGATGTGAACCTAGAGGGATATGAGAAGCTGATTTTTTAATTACTTAAAATAGTGTAAGAACTGGCCTTTTGTGGACTGTGTTAAGGAGGTATTGTTATGGGTTAAATATTATTCAAGATGGATACTATTCTAATTCCCTTTTGTATTGCACCAAAATGCTCAATACTGTTCTCTAAACTTTGAATGATATTTCTAGAATGAAGAAAGAATCAAGGAGAAGAGGAGGCTCTTGGGAGATACAAAACACTTCTGTCCAGTGGTTCTCAAAGAAAACTTCGTCCTACAACCAGGCAACCCAGAAGAGGCAGCTAAATATCGAGAAAAGATCTACTACTTTTCAAGTCCTGAGGCTAAAGAGAAGTTTTTGGAGCGTCCTGAGGAGTATGTGGCTCACAAAGAACCACTCAAGGTGACAGCAGTGTCCCTATCCTGAAGGCTGCCCCTGAGCAATCCTCAGGGCCTCCGACCGACCTTCACCGGTCCGTGTGATAGTGAGCTCCCCAGTCCGATAGAAGAATACAGGGAAAATATCTGTTTCTGTAGTAATGCCTTGTGTCTAACCAATACTGAAAGTCTGTCTTTTAGCAGAAGTAAAAGGCACGGCTGAGTTGACTGGTTGCTGCGTTACAGGCAGCTGTGCTGGCTGGTCTCTGGGAGCAGAGAACCCTGCTGGCCCTGAGACAGGCCTGGGGGCCTCGGGTCGGCGGCCTTTCAGTGGGTGACTGTAGAGGTGCGGTCACTCGGGGAAGGCTGCCACAGCCCCCCTCACATGCAGGCATGTCACGGGCACACCCAGGCCTGACCCGCTCGCTGACTTTTAGGAGCAAGGGCTGCGCTCATTCAACAAATTGCAAGACTCTTATGATATGGTTTAAGAACTCTCCGTCTTCTCCTAAATTTGTGGGAACATTTTTTATTCTCTCTTGTTTATCATCCTTAGAATAGTTTCCTACCTTCTTTAAGGATATTTATTGAATCCAGACACAAAAGAACAAATACTGTATAATGGTGATTTCATAGCGACAGAAAATAGAATAGTGGCTGCCAGGGCCTGCAAGAAGGAGAAAATGGAGTCAGTGTTTAGTGGGTAGAGTCTCAGTTTGGGGTGATAAAAAGGTTGTGGAGAGAGTGGTGATGGTCACACAGCATTGTGAATGTACTTAAAGTCACTGAATTATAAACTTAGAATAGTTAAAATGTAAAATTTTATGTGACATATATTTTACCGCAATAATTAAAGACTGTGTTGCAGTAATATTCCCTTCATTTTTAAAAATAAAGCGCACACACAGCTAAGCCAGCAGTAGAGAAGTCTTCACCTTTGTTTCACTTGCTCATCCTTTTCCGCGCGGGCTTCGGTCTCTTCTTTCTAGTGTATGTGATGTTTTATAACCTGCTTTTTCACTCAACCTTGTATCGGTGAAAGCTGATCCACTTCTACATAAGTCTTACAATGCTTAAATATTGTGACATGATTTTAACATCTGATTTTTTTGGTTAGACATTTCTTTCAGTCCTTCTCGTAGTGTGATTTTGTCATTGTGGACACGAAGTAATAGTATTTAGGGAATCTTTGGGCATATCATTCTTGGTTTCTCCTGAATCATTTTATTAGCATGACAGTGCCTTGGAACGGGATTACAAGATCAAAATTTATGATTCACAGTATGTTGTCGGTAGCACCCATGACCTCTTAAGCAGAACATAGAGTGCACAGTTTAAATTCTGGATCACAGGGCCATTCCCACGAGCCTCAGTTCTTCTGTGGTGCCCACGAGATGTGCTGCCCAGCCCTGCTGGTGCCGGGCCCCGCACAGGCCGTGGCCTCCTGCCTTTTGCTTTGTCCCCTCTTAGCCTGTTTTGCTGCTTGTGATCCCAGCCTTATTTTACACAAACCATGTGGATCAGAGCCTGCCATCGGGGTGGAGATGCCACGGTTTTCCTGCAAAGCGCCCAGCGCACTGGCTCTGCCAAAACCTTTCCCGCCCACCGGGCCGCCTTACAGCCTCCGGACCCCAGACAGCTTGGGCCACCAGAGGTTTGACCCGTGCGTGAGTGAGGTCAGCACAGCGGTCCATCCCTGAGGGCTTTGCAGTGTGGCCCAGAGGTGCGGTGTGAGCCCGCAGCCTGTAATGCCGTAACGTCCTGTCTTCACCACGCGCCTTTCCATCTTGCATCGTTGATCTTTCCCAAGTCATGCACCGATCGACTTCAGTCTTATCACGTGCCCAGTTCTTGAACCCGGGAAGCACAGAATCTGAGTGGAGGGTGGGCTCCCAGCGGGGGTCCAGATGTGGTCGGCGAGAGCGAATGAATGCCGGGGGGCAAAATGGGCAGACATTCACGGTGCGTCTGCCTCTTGCTCTCGTGCGCTTGTCGAACCCTTGTTTTGAAAACGCCGTTATTTGGTCCTCATGTTTGATGATTTATACGAGCATAGAATCCTAGGTTGGAAATCATTCCCTTTCAGAATATTAAAGATCCCGCTTTATTGTGTGTAGCTTCCAGGGTCACTAGGCTGATTTTAATTTCTTTGTAGGTAAGCTTTATTTTCTAATATCTGAAAACTCTTAGAGCTTCTTCTCACTTTTTGTGTTCTTAAAATTGCCGGGTGTCCTTTTTATTCACTGCAGCAGACACACAGTGCATGTTTAATCAGCTGTTTTTCATGCTAGGGAATCCTGTAATTCCACAGTACCATTGAACTTTTCCAGCAATCGTATTTTTAATCTCTAAAAGCTCTTTCTTTTCTCTAATAGTTGTTTTTTTCAAATATCCTCATCTTTAGTGGTCTTCTTAAACCTCTTAAATTGCTTTAAAAAAATTTATTCCCTTATTCCCAGAGTTACCTGACCCCTCTTTCTTGCGTATTTCTGCAATACAGCTTTTCCTTTAGGTGCATCTCTGAACACTTCCCTCATGAGCCCAGAAGGTGCTGAGGCAGTACTCTTGCTCCCCTCTGGTGCCCTCAGCCCACGACTGCCGACCCTCTGAGGCCCACTCTCTCCATGTGTCACCATGCCCCCTCCTCCTCTGGCACCTGCCCACTTCACAGTCATTTCCCCCATTCACACAAGGCTTGGCTCATAATAGTTGTTTTTTTCAAATATCCTCATCTTTAGTGGTCTTCTTAAACCTCTTAAATTGCTTTAAAAAAATTTATTCCCTTATTCCCAGAGTTACCTGACCCCTCTTTCTTGCGTATTTCTGCAATACAGCTTTTCCTTTAGGTGCATCTCTGAACACTTCCCTCATGAGCCCAGAAGGTGCTGAGGCAGTACTCTTGCTCCCCTCTGGTGCCCTCAGCCCACGACTGCCGACCCTCTGAGGCCCACTCTCTCCATGTGTCACCATGCCCCCTCCTCCTCTGGCACCTGCCCACTTCACAGTCATTTCCCCCATTCACACAAGGCTTGGCTCCTGCTTCACCGACTCCCACCATTGTTCCCCTGTGTGAGAGAGCACCCAGCAGGCGATGTGAACAACTGGGTCTCCGCAGGTGCTCTGGCTGCAGGTCCCCTCAGCTCTGAGTGATGGTTACGGGAGTCGGTGAAGGAGCCCCCAGGGCCCTGGGACTAATGGGCTTTTTAGTTGGCAGAGAGGTTTTCTTTTAAATCATGTTAGGAAAGCATCTTTCATTCTTTTTAAATTAAAAATTTTTTTAAGGAAACAAAACTAATTTTATCTAATGCATGTTGGCACGTGACAGCCAGGTGGCAAGTGCTTGCTGACGTTCCCTGGGGCCCGCTGCCAACGCGGTGAGCCTTGCTATGACGTCGAAATGCCGAAACGTTCTTGGGGGTGTGGGGCGGTGACCCCGTCTAAGAAGGGTGGGTAGTAGCTTCGTGCCCTGCAAATCTCCCAGCACCTCCTTCTCCCCCTTCTCCCCCCGTGGCAGGCTCCCCCGCTGAGAATCTGCCTCCTGGGCCCCCGTGGCTCTGGTAAAACCGTCTGTGGACGGCAGCTGGCAAAGACATGGGGCATTTTCCACATTCAGTTTGAGGAATTTCTTCAAGAAAAACTAATGCTCAAAACTGAAAAGAAAATTGGGCCTGAATTTGAGGAAGAGTCTGAGGAAGAGCAGCTGTCCAGGCAGGAGCTCGAGGAGCTTGCGATCCGGGCCAACGTCACCCTCGGGGGAGAAAACGCCAGGAAACCGGTAGTGACACTTATACTCTGAGATCACTGTACTTATCAAATTGATTACTTTGGGGAAGTAGAGTATAAGCAGCATAAAAGTCATAAAGTTTCTAAGAAGGAGGGAAAAAGCAGCCCATCGAAGTCATTTAAAAGCCGCCCCCACGCAGGCTGCTGCTCATCTGCAATGGGAATGCCCAGTTTTCCACAAGCCCAGTAAAACCAGACAGCTTTCCCCAGCAAGACAAGGCACAGCATTTCTTTGGGCCGATGTGATTTGCTAAATCTGACCTAGACTAGAAGGTTCTTCACTATTGTATTCCGTCTTCTGTCAAATGTCAGAAACATCAGCCCAGCACCAGTGGAGATCTCAAAATACTAATTTCTCATGACGGCTCATAAGAAAGTTTTCATGCATCTCTCATAGTTTCTGTGTGGGGTTATAAAGAGAAAGCTCTTAATTTGAACTCACTTTTTAACCATTTCTGATATAGGCAGACCCTTTTCTTCTCAAACGATTCCCCGTAAATGAATCCAGTTACGGAGTATATTCCAGATGACTGCCTGGCTGGCCCATTTTTAATCAGGATCTAGATTAAATAATGATAAGATAAATGACAAAAACCAGTTCAGCCTCACAGGTGTGTGAGACAGAGGGAACAAGGTTTTAGCAAAAGGCAATGAGACAGACCCTGAAGCCGCGGCTGAACGCCAGTCACGCTGGTCCTCAGCCACCCCGCTGCTGTGAGAGATGTGGGTTAACCTTGAAACCATACTAGTTATGCTTTTTTTAAAAGGGCTCAAATTTTAAAGTGTTTTCTGGCAACAGTACAAAAATGACCCGAGAAAAACAGTCTCATCCTAATCAACTGTAGAATATAGTGTTACTTACTGATAGAGTTTTAAAGTTTTTGTTCTCTGGTTTTTTGTTTTTAGCCTGAAGAAGTACAGCTTACAGAAGAGGAAGATGCCATCAAAATGAGTCTAATGGAAAATGAGCCACTGCCTCCTGAAATCCTTGGGGCAATTCTTTCTGAGTGGTGGTTTAAGGAGCCAATACGGTATCTTAATTTGTATAGGATTATTCATTTACTGACTTCTATTTGATTTATTCTTAAAACTTTAAAATGTAATCCAACTTGAATTTTCTCCTTTTCTGTCATGTAAACTAGTGATTGTACACATTAGAAACATCTGGGGGATTTTAAAAAGTGCTGATGTCAGGGGCCCCACCCCCACGGCTGAATCAAACTCTTTAGGGGGGCGAGGTTGGGACGCAGACATTGGCACTTCTGAAGGACCCCGCTGATTCTGATGTGTAGTCGTGGTTGAGAGCCCCTGGCCTAACCCCATGTACGCTTCTAATGTGTAAACCTTCCTTGTAGCCTTTGATTGTAGAATTACAATCAACACCACTTAATAGCTGTCCAGGGCGTTATCCCCTCAGCAAAAGCCAGGAAAAACCTGACCCCAGACAGGATGAATTTAAGAATCTGCAGATCACCAGTTTAAGCTGTCACCTTGATTTCCTAACCAGAACCTCCTGCCTTGGTGCCCACAGTGGAAAGTAAAGGGGCAAATGCTTATGTGGGACCTACTCGGTGCAGGTTCTGCCCTACCATGTTTTATTCATATTAATTTACTTCATCCTTACAACTACCCTATGGGGTAGAAACTTCTTTATCTAATTTTGGAGATAAGGAAACTGTCATATAAAGTCGAAATAACTGGCCAGTTCCACACTCCTCTGGGGCCTCCCTTGTGCACAGTCGTTGACCTAAATGAGTCAGGGAGATTAGATTATAAGTCATTAATTTTAATTCTAATTTCCTATTTCCTAAATTAGATAAAAAATTGTAGTAACCTTAGGCAGGTTACCTGCACAGGTAACCTTTAGGCAGGTAGCAACATAGTCATGGATTGTTCTTCATTAATTTAGCTACCGATCTTATACCATACATTAAAAAAAAGCGTATGGATGGAAAAATTAAAACCTATATTATAAAAGCCTAAATAAAATAGCTGAATATTATGCAACCATTAAGCATGATAATGAAGAATTTGTTAGAACTAAAGAAATGTTTTATTTAGTGTTAAGTTCAAAAAGAAGCTACAAAGCTATTTATAATATGGTAAAGAGATGGGCACATGAACAAACTGGGAAAAAACAGAACAAAATGGCATAACCTCTGGGATATGAGATCATGGGTAATTTTGCCTTTTTTCATACTTTTTCTCTATTTTCCAATTTTTCTAAATTTTTGCAGTTTTCATAATCAGGGAAAAAATCAGCACATTTTAAAAAGGCTATTGCATTAGTCCTGGAGAGAGATAATAAGGCCTGAGCAAGGTGCAGCCACGGAAATGTGGGCGCAGAAGAGGGCATGCCGGGACGTGGCCAGCACGTTGAGAGGCAAGCAGGAATTGAGGGAACAGTCCGGGTGGTCTCCGAAGCCTGGCCCCCAGTGCTAGTGAGCCAGAGGACGAGCAGCCGGAGGGGTGGCGGCGAGCGGGGTTTTTGACGGTACAATGTCCGCGGTCCCTGAAGGGCGCTCTGATGGAGAGACTAAGCAGCTTTTTAAAATTCTGAATTGAAACTCAGAAGAGTTGCTAGTACAGAAGCACAGGCTTAGAAGTGAGTGACAGGGGTGACAGCTGCGACGCGGGAATGGGACTGTCCCTCACAGAAGAGACTAGGCTGAAGGCATCTCTAAAGAAAAGGACACATACCTTAGGGCCAGTTAAGGAAATGTGCCCCTTGTAGGCTAGGACACATTTTAAATGCCAGTTAAGGGCTGAAACTGTCAACTGTTCATATTAAGAAGAAACATATTTAAATATAAATATTTAAAACAAACTTGTATTAAATACAAATACTTAAAATTATAGGTAACAGGATAAACTCTCACTCAGAAGGAGACAGCATTGACTGTCTGTGAACTAAACAAAGTTAAACAAAGCCTGGTTGTTTTATAAGGACTTGTTAAGGAAAACATTAACATTCTAGCTACTTTTATGCTCCTTAACATGTTATCCTACTTGGGCAACTTTGATAATCCTACTTGAGTGTGATCACCTTACACATAATAGTCAGGATATATATGTTAATAATTGTCATTGGTCACAAGGGGACTTGGGGAGTTGGGTATGAACCGTCCCATGGGGGATGCGTCATCAAGAGGAGAACCATGGAGGGGCAGACCCCACCCAAGGTGGCTGCCAGGCCCACCTGCACATAAAGGGTGGCACAGGCAGCAGCCTGGGTACCCTCACCCCCCGAGCAGAGGGCTGATTTTCTCTTAATTTTTCATCAAATATTAAGACTATTTATAATCAAAGAGAACTTGTCGATACTTTAAACATAAGTATAAAATCTTACAATTTTAATCTAATTCAACATATTTGAGAGAAGAAACACCATGTTTACAGAAATAGAAACATTAAAAGAAATAAAAGATTTCATGTAAACTCTTTATTCATTACACATCTTAAAGTTGAGATTTATGAATACTTTTTTCATTTTAAGTGAATATTTACAATATTTAAGCAACTAAAGTAAATTATAAAATTTCCACCTAGTTCTACAGGTTTTGTATTGGATGGTTTCCCACGACACCCTGAAGAGGCTCAGTTTCTAGGGGACTATGGATTTTTCCCAGATGCTGCTGTTTTTATACAAGTTGATGATCAAGATATTTCTGATTGCCTCCTTCCTTCACAAATGGAAAAGTGGAAACTGAAACAAAAGAAGAAATTAGAAAGGAAAAAGCTCATCAAGGAAATGAAGGCAAAAATCAGGGTATGTATCCAGTAAAAAGGTAGATTCGCTGAGCACCTATTCAGTTCACAAAGCAGTGTTTGCAACAATGTAGTTTCCTGATTTATATACCACAGTCAATATGAAAACACTTTTCATCAACAGTAAAACTTTATAATTAAAAAGTTAAGAATTATTTAAAGTCTGTGTGATCATCAACACTTTCATGCTTCTCTCTCCAAGGCAGATAAAACTGAAGATAGTGGCCACCCCAGGGTGTCCCTCTACCAGACCCAGGAGTGAGGTGGGAGGACCCACAGGCAGAGTCGGTGGCTTTCACTAGCTCCTGGAATGACGACATCCTCTATCAAGGCCGTATCAGCCTATAGGGAAACATCTAGAGATTAGCTCAGAACAACTTTCCTAAAACTACAATTGGGGGAGTATTCCATAAAATGTTCAAAAGTGTCATAGGGCACCCAGCAATTCCACTCATAAGCATCTAACAGAGGCAAAAACAGGTCCATGTGAAAAGTTGCATATGAATGTTCATAACAGCACTATTCATAGTAGCCAAAAAGTGCAAACGGTCCGATATCCATCAACTGATGGATGGACAAAATGCAGCACCTCCAGGTAGGGTGCCCTGGGTTCTGGCCCAAGCTGGCAATGAACCCGCCTCCTCGAGGGACACACCGGCTCTTCACAAGGCAGTTCCCTCTGGAAGAAGACCAGGAACTAGCTGAGTGACTCCTCACACCAGGCGAACAAGGAAATACCCGCGTTGCCGACATCACGGCCAGGTCCAGTCAGCCTGTGCTGGCTGCGACCCTTCTTACGCATCCCGTGCCCTCAACCACTGTGAGCCGCTGAGGACCAAGAGGGCAGCTTGGGTAAATCACAGAGGTTTCAGAGATAGCCAAGACCTCAGGTGCTTCTCCCACGCAAGACCCCTCTGTCAAGACAGGAGAGGATGCTGTTTTACTGAATATGCAGAAACCAACACAGAGTCAAAGAAAATGAAGAAACAGACCGATGTTCTGAACAAAAGAACAAGATAAAACCCCAGAACCAGATCTCACTATAAAGGGGAGGTAAGTGATTCACCTGATGAAGAATTCAAAATAATGGTCATGAAGATGCTCACCAAAGTCAGGAGAACAATGCATGAGTAAAGGGAGGGTTTCAACAAAGAGAAAATACAAGAAAGGACCAACCAGGCATCACAGAGCTGAAGAACAATAACTGAGCTGAAAAGTTCAGTAGAGAATTTTTTCTAATTCAATAGCAGACTAGACACACAGATCAATGAAACAGAGTGAGAGTCCAGAAATAATCCCACACATGACATATGTATATCCCCACATATATCAGCAGTTAATTTACAACAAGGTATACAGTGGGATAGGACAGTCTCTCCAATAAATGGTGTTGGGGAAACCAGACAGCTACATGCAAAAGAATGAAACTGGGCCCCTACCTCTCTCATATTAGACACAAAAATCAACTCAAACTGGATTAAAGACTTGTACATAAGACCTGAAACCATAAAACAGGAAAACACAGGGCATAAGCTCCTCAACATTTATCTTGGCAATGATTTTCTTGGATTTGACACCAAAAGCAAGAGTCAGTAAGCGGGAAGATACCAAACTAAAAAGTTTCTGCACAACAAAGGAAACCATCAACGAAATGAAAAGACTGTCTACCAAGTGGGAGGAAATACTTGGAAATCATGTATCTGAGAAGGAGTCTATATCCAAAATATATAAAGAACTCATGCAACTCAACAGCAAGAAAGCAAACAATTCAATTAAAATATGGGCAGATGAACTGAGTAGACATCTTCCCGAAGAAGACATACCAGTGGCAATAGGTACATTAAGAGGTGCTCCACGTCACTCACCATCAGGGAGATGCAGATAACCCGTGAGACATCAGCGCACACCTGCTAGAATGGCTGTCATCGAATGTGCTGAGTATGCTGTGGAGAGAAGTGAACCCTTTGCACTGTCGGCAAGAATATAAATGGGTGCAGCCACTATGGAAAGCAGTATGGAGGCTCCTCAAAAAGTATAAAACAGACCTGCCATATGGTCCCATAATCCCACTTCTGGGTATCTATCCAAAGGCAACCGAAACAGGGTATCAAAGAGATACCTGCACCCCCGTGTTCTTTGCACATTGTTCACAGTTGCCAAGATACGGGCATCACCTAAGTGTCTTGTTGGTGGGTGAGTGAATAAAAAGCCACAAGAAAGAAGGAAACCCTGCCGGTGGCAAAACCATGGATGGACCTCAAGGGCGTTAGGCGAGGTGAAATCAGCCAGCCAGCCAGCCAAATACCGCGTGGTATCACCTGTATGTGGGATCTTCATGGAAGTCAGGCTCATGGAATCACAGTAGAAAGTGGCTGGCAAGGGCTGGCAGGTAGGGGAAGTGGGGAGAGGTTGATAAAAGGGTACAAAGTTTCAGCTGTAAGATGAGTACAATCTGAGAGTCTGATTCATAATATGGGGCAGCTGTAGTTGCTACACTGTGTTGTATAATCAAAATTTGCTGAGGGTGGAACCTAAATGTTCTCACACAAAAACAGGATACTTATGTGATGGACGTGTTAATTAGCTAAATGGGAGGGGTCTTTTCACAATGCGTACATACATCAAATCATCACAGCACAGACTCTAAATGTCTTACCAGTTTAGAACGCTAGATAGATAAATAAATAAATGGTATGCCCATGGGAGGAAGGTTCAGGGAGACGTATCTCATTATTAATGAGATTCCAAAGAACCAAGATCGAAGGCCGTGAGCTACTCATCAGTAGATAAGCACAGACTGAGCAGCCGCTTGGCAGGGATCGGGCAGGTGGAAGCTCTGTGCTTCGAGAGCTAATCAGTTGATCCCAATTTTGAAAGAGTACGGCATAAATTATTTAATGTGTGCTCACAACTCATTCTCATTAAATTACAGATGAAGCGTTAAAACTGAAGTTCCTCTTTCACGGTTCAGACACAGTCGCCAGATTCTTTTCCTCTCGGGGTTAGCCAGAGGAAATCCCTTCCAGCGTCCTGCCAGCCGTCCTTCGCTCCAGCACACGGAGGCTGCGTGTCCCAGGGCACCCCTGTCCCGCATGGCACTGGGGCCGGCCGAGTGCTCGGCCCCCCAAGAGCCGCGGAGGTTCGCGCACTGCACGCCCCCTGGCCGTGTGACACCGCGTGAGTCGAGCCCTCCGACGGGTCGGCTCCCCTGTGGAGGGCTTGACGCCGCCTGCCTTGCTGGGATAGGCTGGTGTGACTTCATAGTATGGTGAAAGATCATAAAACATTTTCTACAAGGTGCCTCCGAGTATTTCCCTATTTTCCATGTACAAAATCCACCTCTCCACCAAAAATGAACTAATAAGTAATAAGTTTAGTTCTAAAGCTCGGGGGAAGGGTGACTGACCCTGAGCACCGTCCCTCACTCTGGAGGGAAACAGCTGACGAAGAGGCCCCGCGGTGTGAAGGACGTGGTGACATGATCGCCACCATCACACGCTTCTCTGGAGACTTCACCATCCTTCCCACCAGTTGTTATTCCCGCTTTGGGAAACCACATCTATTGATACGTAACAAGTAATTTTATCATTATCTGTCAAGGATTTCAATGTTTCTTTCTTTAACAGGATGATATGATTTCTAAAAGAAGGGCTGAACTTATAGCAGAGCGTGAGAAAAACCAAAGAGCAGAGGTAAGTAAATAAAATCGCCCTTTTTTAAGCAGGGCAGCCTTATTTCTGCAGTGCAAAATAATAACATGCCCTGAAGAACATCCGGCAAGAAATAGTGCTTATGTGCGAGTAGTGAGATTACGTATCATTTTTATTTTCTTTATACTTTTGGTTACTCTGTAGCTGTTTACAGGGACTTTTTATTATTTTTGTCATCAGAAAAGTGAACATTTTTAAAGAAAGCCACAAATTCACCATGTAACACCGCACTCTGCTTCCTTGGGATTTTCGTTTCCACCTTTGGCGCTTCCAGCTCACGCGGCAGGAGACGCGCTGGGCGCTTGGGGCTCAGGTCTAGACAGCCTGTGCCGTCGGGCGGGAACTAAAACGTACATTATTTCGAGGTAAAGAACGGAACGGGCAGAGCCTGGGGACCCTCGCAGCACTGCGCTGCCCAGGTCCAACTGCCAGGCCACAACCACCCCTGCGGCCTTCTCCGGGGGAGGCAGAGTGCAGAGACCCAAAGGCCTGTGTGCACGGGGCACCCCAGGCCAGAGCAGAAGGCAGACGCGCACATGGGTGCACAAGGCACTGAAAGCCAGGTGGTCTGGAGTAGTGTCGAAACTCGGCCCCAGAAGGCAGCCTGGCCCCCGGGGGTCTCCTGAGTTGTTAATCTGTGTTGTTTTTCTCTAGCTGCTCTCAAGAAATTCACCGTTATCTTTGCTTTTCAGCAGTTTAATCATGACACACCCACATGTCATTTCCTTCATATTTATCTAGTTTGGGGTTCACTAATCTTCTTTAATCTATAAATTTATGTCTTTCACTACATTTGAGAAAACTTTGAACAATATATCTTCAAATATTTTTTCCAACCCATTTGCTCTCTGTCTTCCCTTTCTGAAAATCAATTGCACGTAGATTAGATCTTTCATATTGTTCCATATAGCCCTGTTAATTTTAATTTTTTAAAACTGTTAGTTATATCAGTCTTTGTTCTTTGTTCTTCAAGTTGGACAATTTCTATTGATCCATCATCGAATTCACTTATTCTTCCCTCTGTCCTCTCCATTCTATTGTTAAACCCATCCAGCTTTTTAAAATTTCAAATATTGTACTTTTTGGTTCTAAAATTTCTAGTTGGTTTGTTTTTATATTTTTTATTTCCCTCCTGAGATTTCTTACCTTTTCATTTATTATGAGGGTATTCCCCTTGTCCTCATTGACTGTAATAACTGCTTTAAAGTTCTTGTTTAGTGACTCCAACATCCAGACTGGGTGTTTGATGATTAGCTTTCCTCTCAAGAAGGGGTCACACACCTCATGATCTTTCATGTTTTGAGTAATTTTGGATTCTGTCATGAAAATGTGAATGTTGTGTTTTAGAAAATCTGGCTTCTGCTACAAATGTCCAAAGAGGGCTGATGACTTTGTTTTTGCACCTGCAAACTGCCCTGCCTGCAGTGGGTGTCAGCTCAGTTTGTGCTGTGAGCGAGGTGCCTGTATGTGCGTGGCTCAGAGATTAGCCGGGGGCTTGCACAATCTTCACGCACGGAATCTGGTGCCCCCTTCTCTGCCTCCCTCAACTCCGGGCTCTGCCCTCACTCTCCAGGGCCCTGGTTGTGCCTCCTTCCCCAGCTGCTTCAGCTGCGAAGGCAGCAAGCTTTCTATCAGAGTTTTAGTGGCCCTGCACGACCACCACTCCAGTGGGGGCTGCTCTCTGAGCAAATGCACAGAATCGGGGAACTCACTCTAAACCAGCTGCTCCTACAAAATTTTCCTGATCTCCTTGAATGAGGGCCGGGTGTGTGTGTGTGTGTGTGTGTGCGCGCGCCAGCCAGAGGCTAAATGAATCTGTTCCTTCATGTTGGAGGCAGATCTCTGAAACCATGCATTTTAGAATACGTATCTCCTGACATAAGCAATAAAAGAAATAATATGTTAGGAAAAAAAGCACTGCTCCAAAAGAGAAAATTGCCATTTATAGAAAAATGAAACCATTTTTCCCTAGGGAGAACTAATCTATTTGTCTCTCAGATGGTCTACTGTGAAGATTTTGGGACATTAACCTTTAAAAAATACAACATTTGGTACTGAAGGACCAAGACAAAGCAATATAATAAAATTAATTACATGCATGTTGAAAAGAAAGAATACTATTTGCATATAAGTTGATTATCTAGAAAGTTTGAGAGGGTTCCCTTCCAAAAAATTATTTAAAGCTGCCCCCATCAGCTCCTCACTGTAGCAGTGACATTTGCCCCCATGAAGAAAAAGGTTAATGAAGTAATTAAATAATCTATCCAGAAGGTGCTAGGTGCCACTGAATATTAGCAAACCCAACCTGCCTGTCTCATCTCTTCCTCTCTCTTAAATGGAAGCAGGTTACAGCCTGCTCTGCTCACACACCAGAGCTGGCAGTTGCTCTGAGTTAATCGGCTTAGTTCTTCATTCCTAATAATGAGGTTGGTCAAGAGGGATTACCACACACCTGAGGACAGTTATCAACACAAAGAAAAAGGTGAACAAACAGAACAATTGACCCTCAGATGCATAAACAATCCAGGAAACAATATTAAACATGTAAAAAATTCCAGTTTCCCTCAGATAATTCAAAAACTTATATCTATGAAACAAAAACAGGATGCTATGAAAAATCAGCAAAAAAGGTTCATGTTACCTAAACTTAAATTGATTGAAGTTGAATAGAAATAATAGAAGGAAAGAGCAAAGAATTTTCACAAATATGGAACAAGAACAAGAGAGAGAAAATATGAAAGAAAAAACTAGACATATGTGGGGCCAATACAGGGGGTCAGCACCCACCGTGCATTTCAGACATCAACATGCATTTCAAAAAAGTGAAAAGAGGGAAAATATAGGAGGAAATAATTTAAGAACTATCAAAAGAAAAGTTCCCAGAGAGAAGAGGATCATTGACCTGAAAGGGCTCAATGAATGCCAAGCAGAATAAATAAAAAGATGCATTAGACACCTCCTCGTGAAATTTGGGCTTGTTATTGAGAAGACCTTAACTTTCTAAAATGAATAAAATGTGGCTAAGCTCTGCATCAGACTGCTCACCAATCCTGACTGACAGAAGACAAAGACAATGCCTTCAAAATTCTGAGTGAAAATGATTTTCGACTTAGAATTCTGCACCTAGCCAAACTATTTATAATGTGTGAGGATTAAGTAGAAACATTTTCAGGTAATTAAGATCTTTGAAAACTAGCCTTTTGTATGTACTTTCTGAAAAAAGTAACCAATTAATGTGGTAAATAATGCTTCCTCAGTCTGCCAAACAAAGCCCAGAAATATGGGGATAAGAGAAGAACAAGAACAGTATTACCCAAACAAAGGGCAAGTTAAAACTCATGATTTGGAATAAGGAAAAATAATATTTGACCTTGATACTTGAAACATTCTCCTTAGAATGGCATGTGTTTCTTGATACGGGGTCTCACGCCCTCCGCCAGTATCTGTGGCTGTAGTGAATAAGGGTCTGTAATTAAAATATAGCAGGTGTTCTTTATTGGGTTTCCATTTTCAGGATCAAAGGCTGTTTGCTTTCAACTTTTAGGGTCAATTTCTACCTGAATCACTAAATACTTAACTGGTTACCAGACAGTAATGGAAATGTAATAACATTAGAGACAAAAATTTGGTAACTGAAAAGAGGGAAATGTGAAAGGAATAATAAGGACATCCTCTTGAGTTGTAGGAAATCAAACACACATCTAAAAATAATAAATAGAGAGTTGTCTAGTATTTAAAGTTATAGACACTCAACTGTAGAATTAAGATTTAAAAACAACTAAAAATGGAGAATAGACAGAAAAAGAAAAGAGAAATTTAAGTCAGCTAGATTTCTCATCATCACTAACAGAAAAGAGAAAAGAAATATCACCAGGGTCAAAAGTGGTGACCTCATACCGCCTCCTCTGTTACTTCCTGAGCTAGTATCTGTAGAAGAACAACAAATTGTCAAATGCAAGAATGGCAAAATAAAAATAGTGAGATGTGTGTTCTGTCACAGAAAGAAATTTAAATATATTGCTAGATTTTATTTTTAAAAAGCAAATCATAGAGTATAGAATGATGTATGTTCAAAATAAAATGTAACTGTGTGTGTCTGTCTGTCTGTAAGCATCTGAAAGGGTCCTAACCCAAACTTAACCAAAATCATTTCCAGGTAGGAGAGTGGCAACAGAGATGGGAGTGTGAAGGGGACTTTATACCCTGTATAATGCTGTATAACTTTATCTTTATAGCAAAAAAATGAATTCCTTTTTAAACATATGTAGTTTATTTATTTTTTAATTAACCAGCAAGCTGGAGGAGCTGCACGCAGAGCCAGAGTCCGTGGAGTTGGTCTGGCGCTCAGGGGCCCCTCGCTGGTGCGGAGGGCTCATCCCACCTGCTTCCAACGATCCTTAGAAAATCCCATCTCAGGATTTTTTTGGTTAATGTCAAAATGTAAGAAAATGAAAAAGTAGTAAGAGAATCCAATGATTTCAAAAGTCAAATAAAAAAGAGCCAGAACTGAGAAACACTGCCCCCCAGGCAAGCTCCTTTTGGAGATACCAGAGCCTGGGCCCTGAGTGGGAACGGCCCCTGTCCCCTCATCCTCCCCCGAGCAGGTCCTGCACGTCCGAACCCCAGCCCCGGGCACTTTTTAAAGGAGCCAGGGTCAAATCAGAAAGATTAGGAAATGGTGAGTTAATCAGAAGTTTGCAGGAAGAGATAGAGAGAGGGCTTGGAGCTCTGGTTAGGGTGAGAGCCCCGATGGGGGAGAGCGAGGCCGGGCACCCCGGCCGCTGATGGGAGGCAGGGCTCCAACCGCGACGGAATCCTGCGGGAGCAGAGGGCGGGCAGCAGGGGTGGGTATAAAGCCTGCGCCTGACTAGGTACTGGTGCCCTGGCAGGGTCTTTAGTTCCCAGCCGTGCGCTCCTCTGGTGTCCTAGAGGGGCTGTACCTCCTGAGGGGGCTCAGGCCGCGCGCTCCTAGTACAGCGCCTATTCCGAGGGACAAGAAGGGCCCGATGGCAGAGTAATGGCCGTGCTGGCTCTCGTTTGCATGCTTACCGTGTGCAGTAAGGGCACTGCACGTGTTAACTAGTTAATGGCCCCAGCAACCCTGTGGGGTGCGTGTATGGTTCCTGTTTTACCTGTTTCACGGATCTTGTCCAAGCTAACACAGCTAGTGCTCAATTTATAGTCAGAGTTGCGTTAAGTATTGTCCGTGGAGGCCATTAAGAACATGTAACAATGTGACAACCATAGGTGTAAAGAATAGTTAATATCTTGTCTATATTTATTTACGGGATCGCTATGATGTCAGTCTTAAAGGCTTTAGATTTCTGGATGCCAGATATGTAAGACGTTTCTCTATGCGATGATGTCGCCACCCCAGCCAGCACCCGGTTATTACAGTGTTCCAGGTGGTTAGCTGGCAGTCATTCGCTACGTATTTTGTAGGTGTAGTAAAGCGGAATGTTTTCCTCCTTAGACGGGGAAAGAAGATGAAGACATCGGCGAGGAAGAGCCCGAAGCAGAGGAAGATGGTATCGAGGACATGCTCGCAGACGAGTTTCCCAGGGGCGAGGACGAGGCCAGTGAGGGGGAGGAGGAGCAGGAGGCCCGCGCCCTGCGGCGCCTGGCAGGGGAGCTGGGGCAGAGATTCGAAGCAGATGCGAGGGCCTTACAAGCAGTACAGGTAAGTGCTTTCGTTTTTCGTAATTTAAATGAGAATGAAACAAAAGCAATTTGCTTTATGCCTTGGTTTCTGTTGAACATTTCAAAGGAAATGTGTATTCTAGAGCTAAATTCTCTGTAGTCAGCACCATTTACAAGTATGAAAACAAATAACTCAAGGGCCACATGGAAGCCACGTGAGGGGTTTAGCTGCCAAGGCGCAGCCACTTGAAGCTGAAAAGTACTGTCCTCCAGGCTGAAGTTAGTCGGTCACCAGACACTACCAGGCATCTTCCCACTACAAATACGTGGTTTTATGATTATTTTCATCAGGAGGAATTTGACAAGTTTTTGATCCCAGTAATTCTCATTAACGGAGCTCGGAAGATCCACATTGTACAGCGTATGTTGACTACGAGACTGAAACCTCTGGTGGAGAATCGCGCGAGCATCTTTGAGAAATGTTACCCAGTAACCCCACACCTGGCCCAGGAAATGCTCAGCTTCACCTACAAGTTCATAAGTGCGTTTGGCTACTGGGACCCTGTGAAGGTAATGCCAGCAAATGCATCCGAAAGGCACGTTCTTTCTTTTATCTTTTTAAGTATGCCTAAAATGACACTGAACAACTTCAAAAATTGTGAGTATTGTACAGTAGTCTTAAGTAGCTATTAGAAACATGTGGCAGTTTTGTCTTCCTGAAGTGGGAGAAGCGACTGGAGGGTCTGCCTTCATCTGTTATGCTTGCCAGCTGAGTGACCTTGGGCACCTCTCTTGCCCTCTCTGAGCCATCCCCTGTGCACGGGAGCGTAGGGACAGTCCTTACTTTGCCATGTCTCTGCCCTGATCAAATGGGTTAATCACTGCAGGGGCCTGCAGCAGTGCTTGGCTTCTAGTCAGCGGTCAGGTGATAGAAGCTCCTGCTTGTATTAGCATGTGACGACTGCTGGTCACTGATAGAAAGCATTTTGGAGCACAGGACCTAGAGTGGAGTCACACACGGGTTACCTGAAACCTCCTTCCTGGCTGATACTGACACAGTCCCCGTCCTGCTTCGTGGCGCTTCTTAATCTTAGATGTGAGGGCATCAAGAGAGGCCTTGCAAATATCAGGCTGAAATAGAGAAGCGCTGTGAGAGCTCTCTAGCCATGCCCTGACCTTCCCTCGGAGATGGGCAAGAGGTAAGAAGCAGGCCGAGTCAGAATCCGGCTCAGGGAAAAAGAAACAACTCGTGTCCACACATAAATGGGACTGTACAAAAATGCCCTGTGGAAAAATGTGCGCTTGGTCATAGGAAGGGTTTAGGCATCTAAATAGTCATTTTGCAGGGCTTTTGGGCATATCTCTGGCGTGACAATTTGGTATTTCTGATTTGACTACATCTTGGGTATTCTGACCTCAGGGGAGAAGGGATGCATACTAAATAATTTGGGCAATAGCAGAAACTACTGGAAAGAGTCACATGTAATCTGGGAATTTGAAATGGAGTCATTAAGCTTTCAGCTTTTCTTTTATTACCAAGTGTAAGAGATAGAGCAGACATTCCCACCCCACCCCTGAGCCTCACCTCACCCTGCCATTTATTTGCTCCCAGCCGTGCACTGCACTCCAGCCCAAGGATGGTGATGCACAATGCCGCTGGCCTGTGACAGCTATCTTGGAATAGCCCGGGGGGGAGCCCGTCCCCGTGCTGCCTGCGCCTCCTCTGTCGGTGCTCGGCCGGGCGGGGCTGAGGGGAGGAGACGGGACCCGCCTCCATGGATCCGCAGCTCATCCTCACTGGTGCAAAGGCGGGCCCACGCCCACCCCCACCCCGCCCCATGCCTGCACCTCAGGCTGCCTTTTAGGTGTATTTTTCCCTTTTGGGGCTGCTCTTGCTGTTTACATGAGTGGAATTTTATCTGCATAAAAATATGGAAGACAAGCCAGGGGTATTCGTCCTACCAGTGTACCCCAGAAAGCAACTCAGGACCCCACTTGCATGAGGCTGCCCAGGCTGCCATACAGAATACCACACCCACTGGGGGGCTTCAATGACACACCTTTATCCTCTCACAGCCGTGGGACTGTGAAGTGCAGGCTGGCGGTCCCAGGTGCCCGCAGCGGTGGTTTCTGCTTACAGAGGGCCGCCTTCTCCAGGCGTGCTCGCACGGCCGTTTCTCTGCGCTCACGCACTTCTGTGTCTTCCTCTCATTACAAGGACACAGTCCTGTCGGATTAGGGCCACATCTTATGCCCTCATTTAATCTTAGCTACCTCCTTAAAGCCCTTTCTCCAGTAGTCACTTTGGGAGTTGAGATCCAACCTATGAATTTGGGGATACACATTTCCATCCTTGACACCACCTCAGGAATGGGGTGTTCCACCTTGGCCCATGAATACATGCTTTACGCTCCTCTCCTTGGCAGAAACACACACTAAAGACATTATAAAGGAAATCAGAAATTGTAATTTTTAAAAACTGGAATCCAGTTAAGACATTACTTGCATGTGGTTATAAAATAATTTGTTCTTATTATGCAGTTTTTTAAGTATTTTATTTGATTATAATTCATTTTCTCATTCTGTAAGAAAGACTTTCTTATTTGATAAATTTCTCCAAGGGCATTTGGGGGAAGTGCTGTGTGAATGAAAGCTAACTTACAAATTCAGCTGTTTGCATATTGCAGCTAAGTGAAGGGGAGACACTCAAGCCGATGGAAAATGCAGAAAATCCATCCTACCCTGTGATCCATCGGCACTATATTTACTTCCTGTCTAGTAAGGAGACTAGAGAAAAATTCATGAGGAACCCCATCAAATACATCCGCCAGCCCAAACCTAAGCCTGCTGTGCCCATTAGGATAGCAATCGTGGGCCCTCCAAAATCTGGGAAAACTACAGGTAAGGGTGTGTGTGTCTTTGTTGGCTTTAAGTGTGAAAGAATCACCTGAAAACTACTGTCACTTCTCCAGGAAATCTGCTATCAAAATTGACTCAGAAAGGGTAAGAAACAGGAAACCTAAATAGGCCAGTTACCACTGAAGGGAAGTCATTCCAGGACAGCCTGGATCAAATGGTTTTAGAGGAAAACTAGGTCAAACTCTCAAAGAATTGAAAGCTCAAGAGATAATTCCTGTACTAAGTTTCTTTTTTATAAGGAATATACTCCTGAACAAATATGATCAAATATTTATATGGACTAAGTAGTCCACATAATCAAAAATATATAAAGAATACAAATTCATTTTTAAATTAGCATAACCCTGATATCAAAGCCTAACAAAGCTAATACAAGAAATCACCAACTAACATTACTAATAAATATAATTGAGTAACAGTATATAAAGATTATATTAATATAAAATTATACTAAAAGATTTTGTAAATATAATCTACCATATTAATAGTTTAAAAGTGAAAATCCATTATCTTAGTCATTTCTGAAAAAGGTCTTTGGTACAGTGGATTCCTGTAATGTTTAAATTTTATGTAACTTTGGACCGTGCGTGTGTGTTTTTTTAAGACAAATGGTCCAACAGCAGGTTGTAGTATTTCAAGGTGACATGATCACGCCATGGACAGTGGCTGGTTCAGTGAGGACAGAATGGGAAGGACAGATGCAGGAGACATTTCGAAGGGAAACAGTAGGACTGAGTGACTGGCTGAGTAGAGAATGAAGGGAAGAGATAAGGTCACAGATTGATTTGTCACCAGGAATGATAAAAGGGAGTTCTGTGCTCCAGTTCTTCAGGCGAGAAGTGTGTTTTGCCCGTCTAAGCTTCTCAGTATGTGCTGAGAGTCTTTGAACCATGTTCCAAACGCTCACAGAGATGATGGCATTTCCCGAAGAAGGCAGAACACCGACACTCAAAATAAGGTTCCACAACCGAGTTCTCATTTCACTGTTGAAATAGAGGTGAATTTTTAACAAGATGTTAAACTGTAAATGCTTATAATTTTTAAAACTTTAAACAAATAGGTCTGATTCCAAGATTTGTGGTGAAGCTGCATTAAGAGCTCTTAATCCAGCCTCAAGCGGTGGCGGTCGACGTGCACTCCCGTCAGGCGGAGGAGCTGCCCGGGCCCCATACTCACTGCCCCCTCCAGTCGGGGCTGAGGCGGGGCGCAGGGCACGCAGCACACCCAGGCCAGCTGTCGCTGGGAGCGCCTGCCTGCAGGCTCGTGTAGGAGCGGAGGCCCAGGCGAGGCCTCTGCCAGCCGGCGGCGACATGCATGCACCATGGAAGGACCGTTCCATGGGGCTTCAGTTCTCATCTATAAAACTGGAATTTCATTATCTGTTCTACTCATCTGATGGAATGGTTGATAATATCAAATAAGGTCACAGAAGAAAAATTGCCTCATAAATTGTAAACGAATATGAAAATGTCAGGAATGCCATTATAATTTTTAAAAAACTATCCCCTAGAAGATTATCTGAGACCTACAGTGTGTCGGGTCGCACCATGGATCCGTAAGTGGACAGACAGGGAAGTGGTGCTGTCCTTACACTGGGGCAGTAAGCTGTCATTTGGGACCTGATACCAAACATTAATAGTAGGTATAAGATGCCTTGTAAAGCCCTCAGAAATTTTGCTACCTCAGGCAAAAAGAAAAACACTCAGTTTGATTATGAAAACGCACAGAGTTGGCTTATTAACCAGATCCATCAGCCACATATTTAAAGCGCTAATAATGATTCACCATTGACAGTATTAATTCAGTAAAATGTAACATTTCCTGAAATAATTTTAATTTTCAAAATTTCTTTGAAGCATATGAAGACTATTTGCTGTTGGTGTCAAGTAACCAGAATCTGAAACTAAATCTAACTAACTGATGAATTTGTGAAATAGAATGTTTGGATTTTAATGTTTTTCAGTTGCCCAGAAGATTTCGAGTGAATATGGCTTAAAGCGCTTGTCAGTAGGAGAAGCTTTACGTTATGTATTAGACAACCAACCAGACACAGAGCTGGCACTCATGTTGAACTGGCACCTTCATAAAGGAGTGGCAGTGCCCGACGAGCTGGCCATTCAAGCCTTGGAAATATCTCTAATGGGAAGTCCATGTGACACCGCAGGGTAAGCGGGCACCGCGGGCGGAGCAAGATCTTTGAAGAAATGACTCATTGGAGTGTCAGACACTTGCCCCGGACAGGGTTTAAAGCCCTTGTAAATGGTGTGATCTGCTTCTCAAACTTTGGGCCACCTATTTGGTTACGTATTTTCATTTTCTGTGTGGCCTGAACACTCAGGTGCCAGAACAGCCTGCAGGCAGCTTCACTCCCAGCAGCATCTCCCAAAGTGCCCAGAAGTCTCCAGGCCCCCGCTGCCCACCAAAGGGCCGGTGTGAACCCCCCAGCCCAGCCCTTCTCACTGCCCCACGGGAGATGGAGAGGTGGCCCTCCCCTGCCACCCGAGGAGGCTGGTCCAGTGAAGGTGGTCCTCACAGGCCCAGCCCTCCGCACAGGTAGCAGTGCCCCCCGCCATGCCCAGTGGGCAGGAGGGCCCAGGCCTGAGCTCCCTCTTCAGGTCACTGTCTGCCCAAGCCCTGCAACCCCGGCCCCACCCAGGAGCAAAAGCCAGGGAGCCCTGAGGCCCGCTCTTGAGGCCAGGTCAGGGCCATGGCGCCCCCTGACTGACATCCGGTGTTTTGCATTGGGTGCCTTGTTCCCCTTGCCTGCCTCGGGCCCTTCAAGAAGCCCTTGTACAGATCTCCCGACTGCAGTCATGGCGAAGCAGGTTCTGAGGGGTCAGATTTCCCCCAGAGAAGGGCTCGGGGCTTGTGGGGCTGAGTGACCTCCCCCCTGGCACTCAGCTTTCACACACGGGATCTTAGTGAGGGCCACCTTGACTGGGGCACGGAGGTTTTATTTCACCTTCACGCTGGGACAGTGGCTGCCCACTCACCCTGAACTCCCCCCATCCTGAGCACCTGTCGAGGGCTGGAGCTGCTGCCCACTGAACACAGCGGCAGTGGTGCCCTGTGCGTTCCCCGCTGGGCGCTCCTGGCACGTTGGGCTCACGGTCCCTCTCTGCTGCAGAGCCAGAGCCAGGGCCTGGGGCACGGGCGGAAGAGCACGGAGGGGGCCCTTCCTGAGCCATCAGCCCGCAGGCAGTCTGCTCCCCGCCCAGTGAGCCTCCTGCTGCCGGAGAAACCTTTATTCTGGAAGCGAGAACCTGCGAGCGGCCTTTGTTCCCCCCAGCTGGCAGTAACGCTCTCTTTACCTCGGCCCGCTGCCCCAACCTAGATTCTCCATCACTGCTGCCCAGAGGCGTGACGGGCGCTGGCGGCCTCTGTCCCTCCCCGGCTCCCACTGGGCCGCAGCAGCAGGCCTCCACGCTCCCACGCTTGTTCAGTCTCTCACTCGGACGCTGGTCATCCTGAGGACACGTTCTAGGTGCTTTACCTGTCTGATCAACTATCTTTAAGACAGCTCCAAGGGTTAAATATTATTCCCCTATTTTACTGAAAACTGAGGCTCACAGAGTTCCAAGTCCCAGTGTGTCTGCCTCCGAAACCTATGTTCTTGCCGCCTTGAGTAACAGCACCAACTGAAGAACAAAATGTTCACGGTCAGCACGTGTGTCACCTCTTGAGCGGCCAAGACCCAGCTGTGCGATGCCCAGTGTGTGCGTTCGGAGCTGAGCCCACGTCTGCCGCCCTCCTCCTGGCTCTTGAAGCGAACAGGGCAAAGCGCAAAGACGAATGGGGTCGCCTAAGGAAGAGCACGGGGCTCTCCGTGACGAGAGGCTGTTCTGGGAGAGCACAGGAGGCGTGAGCGCACACGAGCCTGCCGTGCTCTCCCTCTTCTCCCTGCCAGTGCTGTCCTCGACGGGCACCCCGTGACTCCACACCAGAGGAGCCTCCTGGCAGCCAGGTCGGTCATCCCCGTGCTCATCTTTGAGTTGGATGTGCCTTCGAAGGAGATCTTCAGAAGATTGCTCCTGGAAAAGAAAAAGGAGCAAAGGTGATGTATACGATGAGGACAATGATAAAGGAATGAACTTAATCATCCAGGAAAAAAAACGTATGCTTTTAACACTTTTTTCCATTCCTTCTCTGTTTTCTATCAGTTTGCCTTATCCATTACACAATAGCTCACAGATCATGGCTGTCAAGAACTCAAACTACCGCAAAAATATTGTTGAGATTAGGCAGTATTATCAAAAACAGCACCAGAACTGGTATGTGATTGATGGATTTCACAGCAAATGGTGGGTGTGGAATGAAGTCATTAAGAATGTTCAAGTGGTGAATAAATATATGCAGATATACCTGGAAAGAATAAAAGCAGGTAAGAAAATATTTAACTGTTAAAATAGAATAATATATTAATTTGAAGTTCATGTTACCATAATTCATTCAGTTTGGACATTTGTTCCCACAATCTTTATCAGTATTTTGAATATATAGTACTACCCAGTTATTGTGGGCATGCATATCTGCTCTAATAAACGATTGCTGCTACTCAACCTACCATTCAGTAAATGCCCTGTGAACCCAGCACATAAAAATAATACGTGGTCCGTCACTAGAGGCGTCTATTCCCGTGTGAGAAGCTGGCCTCAACGCCAGTGACACAAGGCCCTGGAGTGACACTTAGTGAAACTTTGTTTAGGAATCTAGAATTATTTTTAGATTCTGTATAGTTACATATGTATAAAATTATTTTTAGATTATATATAGTTATATATATGTGTGTAAAATTATTTCTAGATTCTATATAGATATAAATGTGTATAAAAAGTAAAAATAGTTATTTTTACTGTTCACACTCACTGTGGTATTATATAAATGTTGAGTCTCTAAAAAAATTAAACTTGAGCATAAAATGTCTTTTGATCTTTTAAAGAAAATGTCTAAGTATATATTCCTACAAGTCTCTTGATTATTCTCTGCAAATACACAAAATAGAAGGAAAGTTAGTTATGAGCATCTGGTGCCTCCAGAAAGAGTGATGACTCCACGGAATTCATCTGTGGGGTCTCAGGCGTCCAGCCTATGACTTGCTTACGCTTGGCAACTACAGAGGTGACACGGTGAGGCCTGGGGGGGGCAAGGGGACTGGCAGAACCTTATACACAGGAAAACCCAGGGAGGATTCTGATCCTCGTTACATGTTGGATCTTGACCTTCATTTTGGGGGCATAAGCCGTAGAGTCCCCATTTGTCTGCAGACTGGGGATTCGTGCTCGCCCGAGGGTTCCGAGGCATGAAGATCAGAGTGCAAGGGAAGAGAGAAGTGAGTGTTTAGAAACCTGCTCCAATATGTTTTGGACAGCATCACACTATAAAACATTCCACAGCAGATTCTGAAAGCAAAAATTGTGCCTCCCTGACTTCCTGTTGCCCTGACCCACCTCCCTGCCCTAGGCTGGGCTCCAGATGAAAGGCTGTGCGGAAGCTTTATCAGCAAGTACCCTCAGGAGCAGAGCTGCCAGACTTCGCAAACAAGACTTCAGGATGCCCAGTTAAATTGGAATTTCAGATAAACAATGAATGATTTTTTTAGAATAACTATGTCCCAAATATTGCATGGGACTTACTGATCCTAAAAACTAGCCTTTGTTTATCTGAAATGCAAACGTAACTGGCCAACCTGTACTTTATCTGGCAACCCTAAGCAGGAGACTCACCTCTGGGGAAGTGAGGCTGGTAGAACCGGACAGAGAGAAATGAACCTACCTTGCGGTGGAAGCAAAAGCCTCGGCAGATCCCGTAGGGCAGCCCTGGTGCCAGGATGGGCCTGCAGAATGCCGCAGACTGGGGGAGGGGCCGGGCTTTACGTCCCTCCGCTGGCCCGTCACCGACCACAGGCTGTTCCAGGACCGGGTGCGACCCACGACAGAAGGGCAGTTTGCACCGCAGCTGTGAGCCGTGAGCTCCGCTGTGCCCAGCCACTGGGGAGGCCCGCATCGGCCCTGCAGAGGGGTCTGCACGAGGCACACGGCACCCACCGCATCATCCCACACGTGCTCGCCTCTGCCTTGAAGAGTCTGATCTCGCTGAAATCCACCTTCTTGCTCTTTTCTTCAACTTCCACCTGATAATCTATCTAGCCTGTATCACACTGCTTTTTTAAAATTAATTTTTAATCTTTTTTCCTTCTGCATTTCCTACGTAGGCTATTCAAATGACCCTCCCTGTCGGGACTCGGGTTTCCTCCGACAGAGATGGAGCGAGATCAGGGCGGAAGATTAGAGAGGTTCTCCCTCGTTCTGCCACAAGCCAGGCTAAGATGTACAGACATTGTCAGTTCGGGAATAGCCCTGAAGTCAGAAAAGATATTGGAGTGATTTTAAAACTTGAAGCCATGTGATTCTAAATTACCCTGCCACTAAACTTGTCAGGACTAGTGAGGTTTAGCACCTGGGCCCCATGAGCTGCTGAGGACTGTGAACCTGTAGGACCATATAGCACAATAGTATGAACTACATGACACCGTATCCTTTAATAATGCTACATGTGATCATGCCATAGAGCTGCATATTATGATACCTTAGAAAAGTCATATTATACCACTGTAGTAGTATAGGAGTATAACATTCTTTGTAGAAAAGGAATATTAGGGCTTCTTAGCCTTTTCACCTATGTCATAAACAACAGATAGAATAATGTATTAGTTTATCTATTGCTGCATAACAAAGTATTCCAAAACTTAATAGCTTAAAATACACACATACACACACAGTTTCTGTTGGTCAGAAATCCGGGTACAACTTACCTGGGTCTCTGCTTCGGGGTCTCTCACAAAGCTTCAGTCAAGGTATTGGCCAGGACGACAGCTTCAGCTGAAGGCCCGACTGGGAAAGAACGCGCCGCCGGACACGCTCATGTGTTCTGGCAAGATCCCACAGTCCTCGAGACTCGCCGGGCTGAGGGCCTCCATTCCCTGCAGGCTGTTGACCAGAGGCCACCTTCCCGTTTCTCGCCACAGGGGTCTCCCCAGCCGGGCAGCTGCTTCTTCAAGGAGCAGGCTGAGAAGGCAAGGACCGCACCAAGACAGCAGCCAGCGCTCTGTGACTGTTCCGACCTCCCAGAGCTGCTGCAGTGAAGGCCGAGCGGGGCGGTCCCCGGAGTGGCGGCGTGTCCTCTCACGGTCCTGCAGGCTGAGAGCTTGAAGCAAGGTGCCAGCGAGGCCACCCCTCTCTGAGGGCACTCGAGGCCCCCTCTGAGCTCCCAGCACTGCCGTCTTCTGCACTGCTCGGCTTACACACACACCACTCCAATCCCAAGGATAAACTTTACACATTTGCACTGTCACACAACAAACCAAACTACAATTTATGCTTCATGATCTTAGAGTATGATTTAAGAACTTCCTAGGTACATAATTTTTTAAAAGGTAAAACTTGTCACTGATGAAAGGGACCATAAACAAAATATATTGGGGATCAAAAATTTACTCTTTATGACCAAGATGATTGTAAAAAGTAGTGTTATTATCTATGTTATTATCTGTAACATCTCGTATCACCTTGGAGTCCTCATTGCATTGGGGTGTTGGGGAGAAAACTCTTATTAAACTTGTCTGCTCAAGGAACTTGGGCCTGTTCTTTAAAAATAGACTCTTTCAGGTAAAACTAGTTGCTTTTAGATAAATGTTTCTTTCGTTCTCTCTGGTGCTGTCTGGACACAGAGAAAGGCTTGTGTCAGTAACATTATGTCAACAAACTGTTTGTACTTCCTGAAATTTATCCCACAGAGAACTTTAAAATATGCAGCAAATTTATGTGTGTGTGTGTGGGTGTGTGGGTGTGAGTGGGTATGTATATATACATGCTGGTATACAATACACATATTTGTGTGTATATAGTTTAAAATACCTAAGAATTTAAAACAGCCAAACATTCATTAACAGATAAATAGTTAAATAAACCATTTATATGTATATTTATATAATGGATTACTCTGCAGCAATCAAAAAGAATTAGGTAAGTCGCTTAAACTGATATGGAAAAGTGTCAAAAACTGTAACTAACTGATAAAAGCAAGCAGCAGAAATTATGTTTACAGTATAGTGACATAAGCATACTACACACGGAAAAGGCACATGAATATGCAAAAAAAAGTCTGAAAAAGGTACAAACTCAACAGTGATTCTCTCAGAAGGGATATTGGATGGAGAGGACAGAGATTTGGAGAGAAACATTTACTTTTTACTCTGTTGTTCAGAATTTTACAATGTGTGTGCATTTATATGGTGCTTGTATAATTGAAATTATTTTTATTTTAAAATAGAATTGTGTTTTCTATGAAGAACAATATATAATACCTCATCGGTTTAAACAGGGAAAGCTGCCTGCATTGACAAGCTATGCATCACGCCTCAGGAGCTGCTCTCTCGCCTGGGTGAATTTGGACAGTTCTGCCCCGTAAGCCTGGCAGAATCATATGAATTAGCTGATTGCTCTGAAGCCGAGTCCTTGGAATTTGCAGCAGAGTTCAGAGGGCACTATTATCAAATGAGTTCTCAGGAAAACCTGCATGTAAGTTTGTTCCTACTCCATATATTTGCTAGGCAAAGAAAATGCCTGTCTTGGACTTCCTCCAACAGGGAGGGGTGGGCACAGCTGGGAACACCCGGCAGCTGGGGGCCAGGAGCCCCGCCGTTCGCTCCGAGGCCAGTTAGGGGGACATGGCGAGGCTGAGACTGAGTCCCAAGATGCATTTTGGCACAAAGCAGACATTCAGGGTCAGCGATGGGCCCTTGGCCAGGGCCATCTTAGCAGGTGGGAGACCCAACCAGAGACCCCGCAAGGGGGAGATGATGAGCCCGGGCTCAGGCCGCAGGTGGGCGTCCGGGGGATTCAGTCCAGGGTGCAGAAGGGAAGTCAAAGTCAGTAGGACAGAAGCAGGGGCTGACTTACGTGTCCTGGGCTCACGATTTCCTGTCTGTGGGATTCCCTGTGTGCCTATGTTTCACTTTAATTAACAGAACAGAGCACAGATTTCTTCGGCCATAATGTGTCTAGTTTGATGACACGCAAAGGTCAGTAGTTGATGACTAATCAACTGCCTCTGAACATTTTCTTTTCCTCTGAAGAATTAGAATTATTAAGCATTAGCATTCCCTCCCATAACTGAGGCTGGAGAAGTTAACTCACCTGCCAGAGGACACGTGGCTGGTGAATTATAATGCAGAACAGGAAGATAGGCCAGCTGGTGACTGAGCACCGTCCAGTGCCTGGCACACAGTAGGAGCTCGGGGGACAGTCCCATGGGAAGAGGGAGTGAGTGAGAGCAGGAGAGACCCTGGAGACGATCACTTTGCAGTGTTACCAGAAGGCGCTGGGCTCAGGGAAGGCGGCAGTCAGTGCAGAGAGCAGCCCTCAGAGGGTCTGAAGGGCCGAACACTGCTTCTCAAGCGGGGAGAGTAGCGGGAGAGCCTCGGTGGGCTTTGGATGGCCGTTGTTTCCTGTTTTAAATGGTCTTGCTGCGATAATCCCTTTTTTGTAGAAATTTTTGGAGAACCCAGAATTGTATGTGCCTCCGTTAGCACCTCACCCACTCCCATCCCCGGACATGCTCCCCAAGAGGCTGACGCTGTCGGAGCTGAAGAGCCGATTCCCCAAGAGCGCTGAGCTCCAGGGCTACTGTCCGGTGACCTACCAGGATGGACGGCAAAGGCAAGTGCCCGCCGCACGCACGTACAGGAGGGCCTCCCGGAGTACACGGTTCCTGTGAGGATCACCACGTTTCGGTCAAATGGTTGCTGTTGTTTAACTGGAAAATACTCTCTTTCTTCCTTGAGCTGCATAGGAAAAATAAGACATTTCTGACATTTTATTCGCACAGCACTGCACATTAAATACACAGGAGATTTTATTTTTTGTCTTTCAGATACGAAGCCCTAGTACCTGGTGACATTAACTATGCAGTAGAGTATCGTGATCATATATATATTTGTGAGAGTAGAGAAAAACTCCAGAAATTTTTGAGGTGAGACCATTCATCATGTCATAAATATTTATTGAATATCTTCTGTGTTCAGTGTACCAGGCTGGGATATATGTATCTGTGTATACAGATACACACACACTCACATGCATACATATACACACACACACACATGTATGGTGGAGGGCAAGGACTGGTCTCTGCTGTCCCGAAGCCTGAGGCCCTGGGGTGAGGCAGACTTCCCATACTTTATGCCACTAGAACGCCGTGGGGTTGGGGTGGGGAAATGCCAGGAGCTCTGGGGAAGCGTAGCCCCAAGTCTGGCTGAGTTGTCTATCGGGGTATGGCCTGAATGTAGAGTGGAATGAGCCAGGTGAAGGGAAGGAGGGACAGGCACCAAGCAGAAGGACCTACGAACAAATTTGTCCTGGAGGTCACAGACCTGCAAGAAATTCCTAATGGCTGCAGGCGATGTGGAGAGGGAAGGAGCAAGCCGGAGGCTGGAGACGGCGAGCAGGCCGGGGCCTTGGGGACCAGTGACTCTCCATGAGTCACTCGGACTGGGCCTGCAGGGCAGTACGAATTCACTGGCGGGTTTTGTGCATTATAATCAGGTTTGCTTTGGAGACAGATGTCCCTGGAGTTGTTGATAATGTGTGGGAGGCAGGCAGACCCGTCCCGAGGCTGTTAGAGTGACCCTGTCCTCCGGAGGAGGGCTCCAGGGGAGAATGGAAAGACCCACAGAGAGGAGAAGGGGGGCCGGGAGGGAGAGAGAGGGGCCCTGGCAGGGCAGGGCCGATGGACAAGAGCCGAAGAGCACATCAGATTTAGGTCATAGCAGGTCGTGGACAGTCTCGGCAAGAATGGCTTCAGCAGAGCGAGGCAGGGGAAGCCAGTGACAGCGCCGGGGAGCAGGTGCGGGGGCAGCGGATGAGGACCTTGCCAGTGCCCGGGAACAGCCAGGTGCCCAAGGGGGCCAGAGGCGAGGTGCAGGCAGGAAGCGGCCGGCGGGGAAACGACGGGAGTGGTGGGGGCCGCTGCAGACGGGGCCCTGCGTCTCCTTACGGACCTCCAGACATCGCTGTTTTTCACAAAAACTGGGAAACCAAATTTCTTATTAAGTTCTGTTTTTTAAACATTTGTGATGGATTCAAATTTATTTTTAAAAAATACTATGTGGATCAGATGACATCTGCAGACAGACTTGCCCAGTGGCTTATGCTCCCTGCGGCATCGCACCGCTGGAGGTTTAACTGTAAAAACAGAAGACACCCGTTGCTGGAAGGGATACAGGCCTGGGGAGAGAAGGCGGTTTTCCTTTTCTCTTACTTGCAGTGGGGCCCGTGTGAGGGGGATCAGCAGAGGGGAACGCCAGAGGCGAGAGGGAGGGAGACGGCTCCCACGAGGCCCTGGGAGCTGGCGAGGGGCAGGGCCCCGGGGAACGGGACTCCGGCAAGGTCAAGGGCCTGTCGCCTGCTCCCGGGCGCCGTGGAGGACACTGCATGCTCGGGGCTTCTCTGCAGAGCATGGCTTCTGTATGGGGGACACTTGGCAGGGTCAGGAGTTTGAGGAGAATGAAGAAAGTTTTATGTAGTTGCTGTGAAAACTAAGAACGCTGAGCATAGGTGAGCAGGGCAGGGACCCAGGCCAGGGTGGGGGTGTGAGTGTCCGGGAGCCCCGTCCCGCCCGCAGAGCAAGCAGGCGGCGCACCTGTGTCCCGTGCACGCACATTCCCGTAGACGCACGTCGGGTGATTCGTGAGCGTCCATCTAACGACCCTCGTGTTGTCAGGTCGCCACTGAGATACTGGGATCAGAAGCTCCCACGCAAAGTCCCGCCGCCGGAGGAGCCGGTGCGTCTCTCCAGCCTTCCTTTGCCCGGATACCTGGAACAGGTCCCGTACATGACTCTCTGTGTACACATGTGTTAGCAGGCTACGATGATCTCTTCCTTAAGGATAATTTTTATTTTGGTGAGAGTGAGATTCAAGGCACAGTTCTCTGGTTCTGAGCTGTAAATCCACTCTTAGCCTATCTTGCTTATGGGTGGTTGTGAAAATACAGTGTGAGAAAAGCCCCTGGTTCCGTAGCCAATTCCCAAATGCCTGTGCTCGTGTGGAGAGAGAGCAGTACAGTGGCATAGACTCATTAACATGTGACCGGTTACTTGGGTTCTTATTTTTAATTTCAGTGACTGTAAAACTTGTTTCTTAATTTGAAATGTACAGATTCAACATCTGAGATGGTTCATTCCCAGCTCGAGAGTCACACTTCAGTGACCGTGTAACTGAACCACCAAATCCAGCTTTTGCCCAAAATCTAGGGTGGTGCGTCTCCTGGTGCTGTCTCCTCGGGTCACATGTTATTTATCTAAATATAACTCTTTATAAATATGGTAAAAATTGCCAGTAGCTAATGACCATTTTTAAAATCCTATAAAATAAGTGCCTAGGGCATAATTTCATACCTTCTCCCAGATTCCTAACCATTTTGGTTTTTCTCAACTCTCACGGATGGCTTACTGTGGAAAGGTAAGGAGACGCCCCACCAGAGAGGCCCGTGGCCCTGAAGGCCGACTTTCACCCGGAGGGCTTTCCCGCTGCCCACCTTTGCCCGGGGCTCCAGAAGCCCGACCCACTGGTGACTGTGGTCTCCGGAACCCCGCCCAGGCTGCTACCGGTTCTGACAGTCCAGCCAGTCCTGAGCAATGGAAGCAGAGATGGGCCAAGACAGCCCCCTTCTTTCTAGCATTTTGTTGCAGAAAATGTCAAACATGAATAATGGAGAGGATTGTATAATGAAGTCTCCGCAGCTGTCACCTAGCTGGCACTAAGCCAATTTGTAATTTTTCATTTTTTTCCTATCAGATGCATTTTATATTCCCTGTTAGCTAAGTGATCATCTAGCCATCTTTATAAGCACCACCCCCAACCCCAGGAGGCTACTTTAGGCAAAGAATTGCCTCTTTATCTATTTGCCACTAAGAAGAGAAACCAAACTCTAATGTGCTCTGTTTGAATTGTTCCCTACCTGCAGGGCATCGCTACTTCTCTGATTAAAGCAATGAACGCAGCAGGATGCTTAAAACCCAAATTCCCCTTCTTGAGTGTGAAGAGATCTGCACTGATATACATCGCATTTCATCTGAAAGGTATGTCTGTCTTAATAATATGCTGCTCAGAGCCAATTTAACCGCGATTGCAGTAGGTGTGAATAGGTTTGTTGGGCTGGTTGGTCGTGTGTGTGTTAGTAGCAAATATTTTAATGAAAATATCAAAACTGAGTTTCCAGTTTTCAAAGCAGGGGTTACGAATGATATGACCCATGCCATGCAGGATGGTGAGCAGAGGCAGTTGTGATCTAGAACGGATGGATCCGCCATTCTTATTTGGGATTTGGGTATCTTCTGAGCTAGAGCTTTGCAACTCAATCACACACACAGCTCCGTTCCTCTTTAATTTAGTGATTTCGCTAAACTAACAAAATAGTCACAGTTCTGTGAAATGTTCCACAGCCTCTAATCCCAAAGGTTCTGCATATACAAGAAACAAGTATAAGAAGAAGATGGAGCGGTTTGTGGAGAGATGTGAACTCATTACGTACCTCAGTGCCGAGATGACCAGAAAATACAAGGAACCTCAGTTTAGAGCCATTGACTTTGATCATAAATTACAGACTTTTCTCTCTCTTAGAAATATAGACCCAATTAATGAGTAGTTTGCTTGGTAACTGCAACCAGAATCTTGAGGGTGATCTGAAAGGAACAGAAGGAAATCGATGGAAACCTGGCCCTTTGATGTGCTCTCCCCTCCTGCGTGATATACCGCGGCTGCCAGACCCTAAACGGGCTCCCAGGCCTGCCGGCCAGGAAGGAGTCCTCTTCTGTAAGCATGTTTCCATGTCATTTTAAGGCTTATCGCTCTTTGCCTAAACTTTGATGCATTAACAAAATAGTTTAGAACTCCATTTAGAATCCACTTGGTATATTTAGGTAATTTATTTTGCTAAATCGATTGTACATTTTCCTTTATAAAATTTTCAGTAGAAAACTCTCTGTTAAACAAAATTACACAATATACATTAGAAACAAAATTAACACTGATAGAAATAAAATAGAAATACTGGTTGTACTTTTAATATAAAGAATTTGTAACTTTCACAAACATAAGATACTTTATCATTTTCCCAACAAAAATAAATGGATTTTGAAAGAACTAAATGTCTGCCTCTGTTCTTTTTCTTAAGTACTGAAAGAAGCATGCTTTATACTTATTTTGTAATTAGAAATCATCTGGAGCTTTATGAAGGATGAAATCTGGAGTCTTATCAAGACATTATGAAGTATATGCTAGAGGAAAACTTACTAAATTGGATTTGAATGAAATTTTCAGAACAAGATTACCAATTTTTCAACAGCAGTATAAGAAATCTAAAATCTGAAGTAGCAAGATTGACTCCTTTAAAAATAAAAAATGCAACTATTAACTGTGTAACCTTGGGGGAGTCTGAATTTCTTGGAGCCTTTGTTTCTTAATCTCCAAAATGAGACTTAGCTTTCTCCACAGCTTTATTGAGGTATAACTCACAAACAAAATTATATATATTTAAAGTGTACTATAATGATTTTGATGTAGGATACATTGTGAAATATTTACCACAGTCATATTAATACATCTATCACCTCACATAACTTTGTGTGTGTGTGTATGTGTGTGTGTGTGTGTGTGTGGGTGGGTGTAGTGAGAATGTTTAAGAACCATTCTGTTAGTAGATTTCAAGTACACAATCCAGTATTATTAATTATAGTCACCATACTAAACATTAGATCCTCAGAATTTAGTCACCTTGTAACTGAAAGTTTATATCTTGTCCAACACCTCCCCATTTCTCCCAGCCCCGAGCCCCTGACAGCCATCATTCTACTCTGCTTCTGTGAGTTTGACCTTTTTTTTTTAAGGTTCCACACTTGAGTGTGTCTTTCTCTGTCTGATTTATTTCGCTTAGCATAGTGCCCTTCAGGTTCACCCATGTTTTGACCCCTATAATTTCAATAATATTAATAAAAACTGGAAGCCTTTATATATATTTTTTATATGATTATTTCATTATAAAATGATTTTTAAACAAAAGCTAGGAGCCTATTGTCAAACTTAGGATAAACCCCAAAATCTTTGAACAGTTGCTGATATGCCCATAGATGAATCTATCCTTTTTTCAGGAGACTGGGGGTTGTCCGTGGCTACCAAGCTTGCTGTCCACATAAGACCCCATCCACTCTTCTCCCCTTCCTGGTTCTCAATACCTGCAATGTAATAGCTTCCCATGGTAAATGGGTGATCTTGCATTCTTAACAAGATACTAATGTCTGCAGGCGTCCTCAGCCTGTGGGTATGGGAGTTTGCTTTAGCAATGAAACCAAAACTTTATTGCTTCAGTGTCCTCATCTTTCTGAAGTACCTCCAGGTATTTCTGGGGTCTCCCAGGCTCCATCCAGAACAAGTCCACACCCAGCAGACAGCTGCCATCTCCTGGGAATCATGCCTCTAACATGGCTTCATTCTGAGAATTCTGTGAACCCAGAAGTGCTGTCTTCTGAGTTCTCAAACCTCATCCGTCCTTGCTCTGGAGCTGCCGAGTTCTACACCGACGTGGGGTGAATGTCCCCTCTCTTTCCAGGGAGAAGCTAAGTCTGTTGAGTTGAGCAAGGGACCAGCTGCCACTGATTCTCCCTTCGCATACCTCTCTCCACGTGGTCTCTTCCTGCAAGTAAACCTATGCAGCAGAGCCCTGGGTGGGGAGTGGGGAACCCAAGTTCCCAGAGGAGCTTATGACTCCAGACGTTCCAGGCTCCAGATGCTTCCATGCAAATCCAGTCAGTCACGCCTAGGGCCTTATTTAGAATGACTACTGACAGGGTTACCATTTCCAGGCTTGTGCCAGATTATCTCATTTAATTGTGACACATTGCATTTATCCTATCAGAAGAGTCTCTTACCCAAGATCACAGAAGCAGTAGATACAGATTCAGCCCAACTCCAGAGCCTTCCCACTCCGTTCACTTCCTACAGTGTGATGGCATCAGCGTTCCTAGGGCACTCCATTGGCCAGAGTCCTTTGCCCACTTGTGCTTGTGTACACATACATGTGAATTTGTGGGGTGTGTGTGTGTGCACTTTATAGAAATATTAGAGAAGACTCAGGAAAACCTTGAGAGCCTGAGACCCCCACCCTCACCCCCAGATGCACTCACCCACAACTTGTAATGTTTGCAAGCTGTGTTTTCTTTAGCAAGTTAGAAAAGTGTCCCTAATAATGGAGGCTGGCATTTCTGCAGTGAGAAAGGTGAACATGCATCATTTTTCCTCCTTTTTAGAAATTATGCTTGCATATTGTAAATATTCCATCAACTCATGCCCAGAATTTGATGAAAGAATAGTCTGCCTAGGTGTTCAGGGTCTCGTGTCTAGATTCATTGTTTTGGCAGGTGGATGTCCAATTATTCAGCACCATGTGTTGAAAAGACTGTCTTTGCCCGTTGTCTGCTTCTTTGTCAAAGATCAGCTGATTATATGTATTAGGTGGCTTCTCTTTTCTGTTCCATCTACTTGTCTCTTCTTTTGCCAGTATAACATTGTCTTGATTGCTCTGCCTTTATAGTGAGTCTTGAAGTTGGGTAGCATTGGTGCTGACTTTGTTCCTCATTGTGCTGCCTACTCGGGACCTCCTGCGTCTCCATAGAAACTTTAGATTCAGGTTGTCAATCTGCACAAAATAACTTGCTGGAATTTCGGCTGGGATTGCACTGAATCTACAGATCAAGCTAGAAAGAACTGACATCTTGACAATATTGAGTCTTCCTATCCATGAATATGGAATATCTCTCCATTTATTTAGTTCTTTGATTTCATGGATCAGTTTTATAGTTTTCCTCATACAGACATTGTACATATTGTTAGATTTATGCTTATATACTTTATTTGGGTGCTAATATACATGGTATTGTGTTTTCAATTTCAAATTTCACTTGCTCATTGCTGGCAGACATGAAAGATTAAAAGTCATGAAGGCCTGTTGAGGGTAGACAGCTGACTTTAACCCAAACATTTCAAGAAAGTCAATGTGGATCCTAAACAAAATTGCCTTTTAGAAAGGACTAGTCTCTGCTGCAAGTGGCTGATGCTGCGAGATTCTCCAGACCCACCCCCGTCACGGAGCCTGTGCTCTAGCGGGCAACCACCGAGTGAGGACGCGGCTTAAATCAGGGCTGTCATCGTCAACCGCTGGGTAAGGACCTGTGGGGGCCCCTGTTTCCACTGCAGTTCTCGCGGCAATGCAGTCAACTCCCCGGACGGCCGCTCTTCCTGCTGGTCCGCAGAGCCCCAATCCCACTGACACATCCCACCTGAGCCACAGACACGGGGTTTAGAGGCAATTCAGGACAATGGGAGAACCGCAGAGAATGAGCTATTTTTAATAAAAACGAATACATTTTTAAAAGAGCCAGGCTGGTAATTACACCTCCAGCTTCAAAATTTTGGAGGCTACGGATGGCGTGTCGGCATCTGCAAAGGGGTCGGCGTGGGGGATAATTTATACGCTCAGGTATCGCCGCGGCAGAGCTGCAGAGAGAAAATGCTGGAATAGTACGGGGAGAAGTCGCCGGAGGTGGCGGGCGAGGCTGGGCCGCCCTGGGGACGCTCCGGTGAGCTGCAGGGACCGCCACCCCCGAGACCAGGCCGGCAAGTGGCAGGACGGAAGCTTGAGCGGGAAGTCGCGCGGGACGCGCGTTCACGCAGCGTCGGGCGCTTCCCCCGTGGAGGCGGTGCCCTCCCCGCGCTGGCGCCGCGTCTCGGCCCGGCGACCGGCCGCAGCGTGAGCGGCTTGCCCACGGCCACGGGCCCGGCGCGTCCGCAGGGGCGCTACCTCGGCGCCCCGGTCACCGCTCTGGGAGGCGGCGGGCGTGAACCCGCGGGAGGCAAACGCTCACGGCCGTTCCCACGATCTCGGACTGGACGGGGGGGCGGGCCAGGCACGGAAGGGCGCCCGTCCTCACTCCTCACGCCCTGGGACCTTGACGCCAGCGCCACGTCCGGCCCGGACGGCCTCACCGCGCAGCCCTGGGCAGCTAGCCGCGCTCACGCACAGACGTCCACGACCGCGCAGCGACAGCACCCCTTCCGCACCGCGCCGCCACCGGCCCGCCACGGAGGCCCGCGGGGCTCCCTGCGGCCCCGCTCCTTCCGACCCCTCAGGCCCCGCCCTCCTGACCCCTCAGACCCCGCCCCCGGCCCCTCAGGCCCCGCCCTCCGCCCCTCAGGTCCCGCACCGCCCGCACCGCACCGCACCTTAGGCCCCTCCCCACAACCGGGCACTTCAGGCCCCGCCCGCCGGAGGCGCGTACTTGGGCCACGTGGTCCGGCGGCGCGCAGGCTACCGGGGCGGCGCTTCCGGGTTGCGGCGGCGGTGGCGGCGCAGAGGCGGAGGCGGAGGCGGGGGTGGAGAGGGCCCTGCGGCGGGAGCGGAGCTGAGGGTCGGGGCGGGCCGCCGGGTGGGTGGCGACGATCCGGGCTCTCCCGGGCCCGCCGTCCGTGGTTGCGGGCCCCGCGGCCCTGCCCACCCCTCCCCAGCCTGCCGGCTCCCGGTCCGGCCCGGAGGCCCGAAGGGGCGTCTCCCGCGCCCGCCCCCAGCCCCGCGGGTCCCGCGCAGCGCCCGGCGGCCGCCAGAGCACCCCGTGCCGCCCTCCCGGCAGGCCCGTGCGCCCTGCGTTGCCGCCTCATTGCAGCCGCCCCGGCGTTCCCTCCTCCACGTGTACGTTTCTGGCCCCTCCACGCTTCCAGACAGAATGGCTAGTGATGTATGAAGTGACGGTCCTGCCACCCAGCCCGCTATGGAAAGTTAGTGCTCAGAAAGGCTTTCGAGCCGCTCCGTCCCAGTTCCTTAATTTTACAGAGAACGCACACCCTGAGCGGTAACGTGGATGTTGGAAATTCACCCAGCAGGAGTGAGAACCCGACTTTTTAAAGTGGTAAATGGTAAAATTCAGTTAATGACGTGACTAGTTAGGCGCCTTGGGTCCGCGGTTGATCTTGATAGACGATGCTTCCTCCTCAAACCGTGTTTTCTTATTTCAGGCGCAATGCTTCCTGGCTTCTAAGGAAAATGGCAGAAACCCCAGCCGAGGCCTCCGGGCGGCTTGTGCTGCACTCAGACGCTCACAGTGAGGTTGTGCTGGCCAGGTTTGAGGATCAGAGGAGGAAAGGCTTCCTCTGTGACATTACTTTAATCGTGGAGAACGTGCATTTCCGGGCCCACAAAGCCTTGCTTGCTGCCAGTAGTGAATACTTCTCAGTGATGTTTGCCGAGGAGGCGGAGATCGGTCAGTCCATTTATATGCTGGAAGGCATGGTGGCCGACACGTTTGGTGTCCTGCTGGAATTTATCTACACGGGTTGTCTCCAGGCCAGTGAGAAAAGTACAGAACAAATCCTGGCTACCGCTCAGTTCCTGAAAATACACGACCTGATAAAGGCTTACGCGGACTTTGAGAATAATCATTGTTCCCCAAAGCCGACAACTTTGAACACGGCGGGTGCCCCAGTGGTTGTTATTTCTAATAGGACAAATGATCCCCCAAAGCGGAAACGGGGAAGACCTCGGAAAGTCAGGAGTTTGCAGGAGGGGAGATCGGAATTGGCCGCCGAGGAGGACATGCAGCTGAGAGTGAACAATTCAGTTCAGAATAGACAAAACTTTGTGGCCCAGGAGGGAGACAGTGGCCTGCTGAATGACCAGCTGCCAGGGAAAGAAGTGGAAGAATCTGTGTCTGCCGGTGAGCCAGGCAGAGCGGAGGAAATGCCGGCTGAAAAAGACGAGAACTCTGATCCTAAGACCCAGGAGGGCCAGGAGGGCCAGAGTCGGTGCGGCAAGCGGAGGCTGCGGAGGTCCATCAAGCTCAAAGACTACAAACTTGTTGGGGATGAAGATGACCAGGGTTCAGCCAAGAGGGTCTGTGGAAGGAGGAAGCGCCCTGGCGGCCCCGAGGCCTGTTGTAAAGACTGTGGCAAAGTGTTTAAGTACAGCCACTTTTTAGCCGTCCACCAGAGGAGCCACACAGGTAAGTGACCCTTGCGCGGCCTACTGGGGCGTGCTCTGGAGTGGTGATGGAGATAGCTTCCGTTTGTTGTTGAAGCGCACGGCTGCTGCGCCCAGTTCGGTCCTCACAGCTCACCCGAGACACGCAGCAGTACCTGCATTGTACGGATGAAGAGACCGAGTCCTCAAAAGCTTCAGTAACTTGCTCAGGTCGTCCATTTAGTGACAGAGCCGGATGTGAATCAGGTCGCCTGATTCCAAAAGTCCTCTTGGAGTTGTTGGTTCGAGGCTCCGATGTCTAGGTACCAGGCTCCAGCCAGATTTACTCTGCCCTCTGATTTCTAGAACATTCCTCATCTTGACCACGGCTGCTTTTGCCCAGGTCTGTCTGGACAGCTTTCTCCCTCAGCCATGTGGCTGTAAATGTCTTCTCCCGTTGGGTGCCTCCAGCCCAGCACTGGCCAGTAGACCCCTTTGTGAAGTGGCTCTGTATCTGCACTGTTCTGTATGGTGACCACCAGCTACCATGGGGCTTCTGTGTGCTTGGCATGTGGTGAGTGTGGCTGAGGGACTGAACTTTTTATTTTAAATCATTTAAATGACATCCTGTTGGACAGTGCAGGCCAACCCAGAAATCCTTCCTCCTCTGAGCTCTCTTACGCACATAACTCACTCTGTGTCAGGTTGGGGCGGGGCTACAAGCCCTCAACTTATTTGGGAGCCTCCGTCTCCTCTCATCCTGCTGCCTGTTGTCATCTGACCCAGCAGCCTGTAGCCCTGCGGCCCCCAGCCTGGCTGCACCTCACGGTTGCCTTGGGAGCTGCTAAAAGCACCAGTGCCTGGGCCCCACCCCCAGAGCCTCTGATTTAATTGTCTGGGGCTCTTTAAATGTATCAGTTGAGAACTCTGAACTTAGTTCTTTAAACAGAGACACCTGGGAAGTATTTGTTGCGCTGCCGCAGGATAGTTTAAAGACATACAGTTCTGTGAGCTCAGGTAAGGAAAACAGCACGTAGGATCTGCCCTTTTGCCCCCAATATTCTGAAATTTTGCAGTGAATCAATTTAGTGGTCTGTTTTCTTCCACTTGGGTGGATACCAGTAGATCCACTCGGTCTGGAAATTTCTCTTTCACTGCCGAGTGATTCTGATGTGCGCATAGGTGACTCTCCCCCGGCTCGCTCTGCTCTCTCTCCGGGATGCCCGCCGTTTGGATGCTGCGCCTCCCGGACGGTCCTCAAACTTCATCCTTTCTCCTCTTCTCCATCACGTTTTGCCCTACTTTCTGAGACTTTTCTACCTTAACTTTCAATTCTTACACGCTTTCTGTTTCTACTCTTATTTTTTTTTTACTTTTAGGAGTTCTTTTTCTCTATATTCCCTTTTTTATTAGGCTCCTCTTTGTGTTTCGCCGTGTGGCATCTTAGCTCTGAGCATGTTAACAGCAGCGTTCGCTCCTAGGCCTCAGTGTGTCCTTCACCTTGGGCTGCCCTGTGCTCTGCAAGCTGCTTTTTCTTCTTGTTTGTTTTGGTGTCTGTTTCAACTGCTCACGGCCTTTCAGTGGTAATTTTTAGGAGTTCATGCATAATCATACGTTCAAGCGGTTTGCGAAAAGCTACTGACAGCTCTGGATGTTGAGAGGCCACTAGGTAACGGCCTCGCAGAGGGCAGCATAGCCGCCTCCCCCCCACCCCACCCCCGCTCCTTGCTGCTGCCTGGCGTTGCCCTCCCCCTTCTCCCCTGGGCCCTTCACATTCCAGGGGGCGCTCAGCCTGGCTGCTGGCGTCTAGAGCAGGAGGAGGGAGGGGGAGGGGCCGGGTGGGGCTTCATCATCCCGAATGGGAACTTGGACTGCCGCCCCTCCCCCAGTCCAGAGATCTTTGCCTCGCCCTCTGCAGCGCAGCCCCATCTCGGCTCAGGGAGGCGCCGGGTTCCTCGGCCGCGGGGATCCAGTCGGGGGTCTGTCTGCCTTTGAAACAACTGCTGCCATCCTCCTTCTCAAGGCCCTGCCCCCATTTTCAAAGGTTTCGGTGCCGCCAGTTCCTGAGCCATGCGGAGGCTTCCTCGTAGGTTGCGTCATTGCTGCTCACTGCTGGCACCCAGGTCATTTGTTCCAGCTCGCCCTGACCACGGGCCTTTTTTGTCATTTTAGTTTGGGAGGAAATGGAAGTGCGCAGATTCTGGCTTACACCTTGCTTCTGGGACTCTCATTCCAGGGGAGCGACCTTTCAAGTGTAATGAGTGTGGGAAGGGCTTTGCCCAGAAGCACTCGCTGCAGGTCCACGCCAGGATGCACACAGGCGAGCGGCCGTACGCCTGCACCGTGTGCAGCAAGGCGCTCACCACCAAGCACTCGCTGCTGGAGCACATGAGCCTGCACTCAGGTAGCCGGCTTGCACCGCAGGGAGGACCCCTTCCCAGGGTGGGCGCTCCCGCCACCTGAGTGGTCTTTTCTCGGCCTGGTGTCATTTCCCACATGATGTCACTGAAACACAGTGGACCTGGTCCATTGGACCATAGTTTATAGAGTTATGCACACACTGAGCCTTAAACTGGGGCTTAGAAACTGGCTGCCGGGAGTTCAATATGCAAACATGTTTTGTAGCCACCAGAATTTAGATTTGTTTTAGTTTGGGCCCCTGTGGGGGAAACTCAAATTCTCCATTTCCTCCACAGTCTCCACCACTCCCTATTACCTTGCCTGCCTTTGCACAGCCACGTCCTGTGGTAGACCCCAAAGGTATTCGGGTTGCAGGTCGCTGTGTCATTCGTAGAAAATGTGGACCTGGGCCCAGTGTAGTATCTACCTTATTAATGTGCATTTTCATTCTTTATAGTTTTTTGCATGTCTTAGTATGTTGTCTTTTTTTTTTTTATTTGGCAGGACAGAAGTCTTTCACCTGTGATCAGTGCGGAAAATATTTCAGCCAGAAAAGACAACTAAAGAGCCATTACCGAGTTCACACAGGTGAAATAAAGGGAGAGAAAGCCTGGGTTGGTGGGCAAGAGATGCAGGCGAAACCATTTCTGAGACATTAGGTTCGTGTTGTAGAAGATAAGTTAGTTTTTAGGGAAAAGAGTTAAAAAGCAAGCTAAATTAGATGTGCTTATGTTATTCCCTACTGCCTTGTAATTTATATTTAATTTATGCTACAGTTTAGGTGCCATACCCAGAAACCCCACAGAATTGGTCTCTTTCAAAAGTGCCACTTGACCAAGAGGGCCCCAGTTGACAGAGCTGTCACCACCCCAGAGCTGTCAGTCCCACCTCCGCCCACCCAGCACTGCCCATTGTCCTTCTTTCTCTCCTGCCAGCTGATAGGAAGTGAAGGGGGGTCGGGAGCGACATCTGAGATAACCTGGCCACAGTCACACCAGAGCTTCGTGGGAAGGTGGGGATAATTCTTAGGGAGATTGGAAGGGTCCCGGCTCTCCTGGGAGGCAGTGAGGTTGAGACGCGAAAGAGAATGTTAACTGTTTCCAAGTTAATAAAGAACATTGTTTTGCTGAAGTGTCATATTTCAAGTGGTTATTTTCCAGGGAGGGGCTTTAACAGACCCCTGAGGTGTTGCAGGGACATAGGCACTGACACTTTTTATTGTTGCAACAAGGCCGCTCACTGCCGGAGTGCGCTCACTGCCATCGCAAGTTCATGGATGCGTCACAGCTGAGGAAGCACCTGCGAACCCACACAGGTGAAGCCGCCCGGCCTCCCTCCTGGGCACGTGTTCTTGGGAGGCGGGTAAGGGGAGTTACGTGCACCGGGCCCCCTCCTCAGATGGTGGGGGGAGCTTTCTCAGTAAAGCATTAAAAGCTTGGGGTGGATGCTGTCAACACCATTCTGCAGAGGTCACGACTGTAGGTCAGCAAAACGGAGGTCATTGCTGGGCACTAGTCACACGTGAGAATTCGTTGCACACCACAAAATAGTACAAGTCTGTTAATTTACATCAGCACTAAAGATTGTCAAGGTGACGTTTTAGAGAACGAAGCGTGTGAAGCAGGTGGCATAGGCTCGGCGGGTTTACACTTGGCCACTGGGACCAGTGCTTAGACCTGAGGCGTCCCGTCCCCAGGAAACCGGCTTCTACATGAGGAGGAGGCAGGGCCTCCCAGGGCAGGTCGGGTTCTTCCATTTGAGATCCGAAAGGAGCAAACATGGGCCTTTTAGACCTTTTGGTGATGAGCCCTTCCTGAAAGCAAAACTGTTAGATTTTCTAAGAGAAACTAACTAGTGTGGGTTGGTTATTTGATGCTGCTGCTAAATTATCTACTAAAATCGTCGAGCAGATTGGTTTAAGCACGTTTTTCCCCTTAAAGTAATTTGCATTCTTAAATATCTCATAGGGCATGAGTTTCATAAACCTGGATCTCTATGCAATCTTCCTGTAGAAGTTATCATTAAGAGGTTCTGTGAAACATGATTCACCCATTTAACACACATTTACACAGCAGGTAGGGGGACTGCGCCCTGTCCTGGGTCCTGAGGACGCCATAGGCAGTGAGACGGGCAGAGCCCCTCCCTCCAAGGGGCCAGTGTCCCAACAGGAGAAAAGCACGAATGACTGACATGGTGGGCGGGCCAATCCCAGGGTGAGGGGACCGTGTGGGAGGGGAGCCGCCCTCTTGGCAGCTTACCTGGCGGCGGGGGGGACGGGGGGGGGGATGCTTGTGCAGGAGGGCCTCTCTGGCGAGGTGACATCCTGGGTGCAGGTCCGGCTGCCACGGGAGTGAGTGGTTGTGGCTGTCCAGAGAGGAGCACCTCGGGCTGAGGGAGCCGCCGGGGCAAAGCCCCGAGACAGGAGAGTTTCTGATATGATGAGAAACCCCAGGAGGCAGTTGTGGCTGAGGCCAAGCCAGGGCTGCAGGAGAAGGTGGGCCCGGGGTAGGTGGGTGCCCAGGGCTAGGAGCAGGCGGGCCCGGGGTAGGTGGGTGCCCAGGGCTGCAGGAGCAGGCGGGCCCGGGGTAGCTGGGCGCCCAGGGCTGTGGGAGAAGGTGGGCCCGGGGCAGGTAGGCGCCCAGGGCTGTGGGAGACGGTGGGCCCGGGGTAGGTGGGCGCCCATGGCTGCGGGAACAGGTGGGCCCAGGAAAGATGGGGGAAGACAACTCAGAGGAGCGCCCTGGGCCTTGAAGCCAAAGCGCTGGCGAATAGGACGTGGGAAGAGGTGCTCCCAGACAGGAGCAGCCTGAGGACGCGAGAGGCAGGCAGCCAAGGGCCCCAGAGAAGAGCAGTGAGGTTGCCAGCAAGGGAGAGACGGGTGGTGAAGGCAAGGGCTTGGGGCTGCGTTGGACAGATGGGAGGCAGGTTCGGGTCTGTGCGTGCAGAGCTCAGGCAGTCAGTCCCAGGGGGGTGGCCAGAGGGAAGGTTCTGGAAAGCGCAGTGAGCAGGCCCTTTTGGGAGGAAAGGCAAAGGCCTTCCAACCGAGAATGTGGAAGGAAGAGCTGCATTGAGAGGCTTTTAGTCTGGGAAAAAAATAGTCACTGCATACGTGACAGTGTGTTAAAATCCCACATGTGAAAGTGGGTACCCCAGCTGGGCAGGAGACAGGATAGGAAAGGCCAGTAGATGGAGAGCATGATGTCAACTGCATCGGTCATCAAAAGAAAAGAAATAGGCATTTCTTTTTGCCCATTAGATTCACAAATATGTGAGGAAATGGCCATCTTTTTATTCTGCTGGTGGGAATATAATTTGGGAACTTTCTGGAAAGCACTTTGGCAATGTGTATAAGAATGTAAACTGCCCAGTTGTGAAAAGATGTTTGCATAAGGATTTCATCATAAACAAAATTGTTTGTAATGTCACAAGTCTAAAAATGTCCTAAATGTCTACCAGCAAGGGGATAGTCAGGTAATTTTGGACCCAGACATGCAGTGGAACACAGCATACCCTTTGGAAACGGTGGTGTGGCATCATGTGACGTCGTGGACCTGCGTGACTGGACAGGCCCGTGGTGTCAGGTTGTTTGCTCGTATGTGCACACAGGTGTGTAAAAACGTTCATCATGATGTTAACTAGCCGTCTCAGGAGGAGAATTTGGGGTGGCTTTCACTACTTGGACTTCTATTTTACTTGAGTTTTTTAGAGTGAACATGGGTGGTTTTTAAAGAAAAAGCAGCTGTTCTAGGAATTACCGTGTATAGCACTGGATTGCCGCTAAAACGCGACCTGGAGGCAGGCTGGAGGTGTCGTGTGCCTGCTGGGCCTGGCGGGCTTCCATGGTGCTCCCCGTAACCCACAAGGCTGTTCGGGTTTCAGCCCACGGTGGTGGGAAATCGTACCAGGCGCTGATACCCAGCAGGCCTGAGTAGTCAGGACTGCAGGGAGTGGGAGCCGCGGGGCCGGGTGGGGGTTCACACTCAGCAGAGGGCGGGGTGGGCGGGGTGGGGAGGATGCGGCAGACCAGTGAGGAGAGGGTCTGGAAGGAGGCCCTTGAGTCGCTTACGCATTCCTGCTGCCGCCCCAAGGGTCGCACTTGAGCTCTGCCCCGTCCTTTAATCGCCATTCCTGATCCTCCTCTGCCGCCACTGCCACCCAGCTGTCCCCTCCCTCCTCCCGCCGCCTGCCTCCTGTGCCTCCCGGACAAGCCTCAGCACTTGGGGCGTGGGCCGTTCCCGGCGCTCTGCCTGCAGCCCGCCTCCCGCCACCCACACGGGCAGTGTTCAGGGCTTCCTCACGTCACTGTTGTGCTGAAGTGTGCCCAGCCGCACGGGGCCCCTGCCCGAGGTTCCAGCTCTCTGTGGCCTGGGCTCCCCTTCAGCTCCACCTCCCAGTGCGTCCTCACCCCTCGTTGTCCGCGTCTGCCCAGGGAGAGCCTGCCCCTCCGCGCTGCCCGCTCGCCCACACTGGGTCCCTGCCCCTCACCGGACACTAGGTCAGACACGGCCCGGCGCTGCTGGACTGTGCGTGTGTCGTCTCTCCTCAGACCCATGTTCCTGCTGAGCGGGGGTCACGCGCTTCATGCCTCTGTGTCACAGCTCTGTGCCGTTGCTGGTATGTCAGTGCTTTAGAACCGGGTAAACTGGAGAAGGGACGGGTCACTCAGTGGAGGGCCGCAGAGCGCTGTGACCAGCACGAATCAGAACCTGGAGGGGTAGGAGGACCTCCCCCAGACACCTCGGCTAGGAAAACTTGTCTTCTAGCCCGAGGATGTTTCTGGAAAGAATCCGTGATTTAAAGCATTTGCTAACAAAAGGATGTTCTGCAGTGTTTTAAACCCTGTTAGTGACAAAGTCGTCAGTGACAGAGTCAGCGTTGTCCTGCATGTTTCCTGCGCAGGACTGCACGGCGGTGTGCAAACAGGGCAGCTGCTCCGCGTGTGACCCTGGAGAGAGGGCAAGCCCAGATGGGAGTGGGCGCCGGCTCTGGTCTGGAAGCTGCTGGCGAGGCCAGCTTTTGGCCTTTGCAGGGGTGAGAGGTGCTGATGCGAAGATGCGGCTCCCCCAGGTTGTCAGGCATGCCCCTGCCTGGGCAGCGCTGCAGGGTAGTCCAGCCTGAATGTTCCCGAGGGTGCTGTGAAGGGGGCACTGCCTGGCGGCCCCCGCTGCAGATGGCACTCAGCCCTCGCTGTACTGAGCTGAGGGGGACTTTGCTTTATTCTTTCCTTTTCTAAAAACTAGTTCTGGTGCCGGCATCAGGGTCGCCTTGGCAGCCTGGCCCTGGGTGCGCGGGGTGCGGATGAGCACCGAGTTCGTACTGCTGGGGCACTGGGAACTCGGGAGGGGGGGGTCCGGAGCTGCCGCATCCCCTGTGTGGGCCCTAGTTCCCATCCTGCGAAGTACGTGCATTCGACAGGGACTCTGGGGACAGTGTGCCAGTCACTGGGGGTACTGGGAGTGGACCACCCTACGTAAGAATGGGGGAGACAGGTAATAAGTGACAGGTAATAAGTGACATGTGTACAGCATATGAGGCGGGGATAGCATGTGGGAAGTGGACTAGGAGTGTTTGGGGGCGGGAGGGGGACAGTGCTCTCCTGGTGATGGCGCCTCGCTGGTGACATGACGTGCCACCTGAGCCGAGACGTGGAGGCCACGTGGCAGCGACCCGTACTGGAGACATGCCAGGCAGAGGGCATGGCGACCGAGAGGCTCAGCAGGGCTTGCTGGGGGTGGTGTCCAGGAACTCCAGAGTGCTGAGAGGCTGGGCGGGGAGCAGGGGGGAGTGCCTGGTGCTGTTAGGGGGTTCTGGGGTGGGGTGGGGTGGGGTGGGAGGCATGGACAGATCCGTGACTCCTGGGCGGCCCAGGGCTCTGGCTTTTACCTCGGGATGGGGCCAGGGGCCCCTAGAGTGCTTACAGCAGAAGCAGGAAATGATCTGACTGCCTAAGGGGTTGCTCTGGTGCCACACTGAGTGTGGGCGGCAGAGACGCAGGGACAGAAGTGGGGGCTGCTGCGGAGGTGGTCGCCCAGACTAGGGTGGCGAGACATGGTCGGATTCTGGGCACATGTGGAAGGGGGATGGAAATGTGGGTAACAGCTAAGTCTGCCCGGTGCTCAGGGGTCCTTCCGAAGGTCAGTGGGGCTGCCCGCCTAGCAGCGGGTCTGAGTCTCCAACGTGGCGGCTCGCTGGTGGGTGCTGTGTCCCTTCGCAGCCGCTGCCTTGCGGCCTCCTTCCCCGCTCGGCCTGCAGGGGGCAGCCCACACCTGGCCCTCTGTGTCCTCTCGGCCCCTGCTCGGCTGCTCAGGTACGCGGCCAGGTGCTCGGTAAGGTCGAGTCACCCAGCTTGTTGGAGGTTCAAGGAGTGTTTATTGCCTTTTTTTTGTATTGTGAAACTGAGGAGTGTTTCTGCTTTTTGTTCTGTGTTGAGTGTTTATTTCTAACCTTTCCCTCGTGTAGGTGAGAAGCCCTTCACTTGTGAAATCTGTGGCAAATCTTTCACGGCCAAGAGTTCTCTGCAGACCCACATCAGGATCCATCGGTAACGTTTCTCACATGGGGTCGGCACCCACCCTGCTGGGCGGGACAGTGACTTGTTACCTGTACAGCCCTGTTCCCTGCGTTGTTGTGCTGGTACAGTGTTCTGTGTACTTTATTGTTTTGTTTTGCCTTGTTAATAAAGAAATTCTTCACTTAGGCAAAATCAGGAGAAATGATTCTGGCCAGCATGCTTGTACCTTATCGGTTTCATTTCCTGAATTTTGACTTGACTTTGGGGTCCAAAGCTTACCTCTCCAGTCAAAAATAAATAACAAATTTAATGTTTTCTGAATAAACGTTTTTGTTCACACAACTTCCAGATTTTCTTTAGTAGTTCTAACACAAATAATTAGGAACTACTCAGATACTTCATATTGAAAATCGTAAACGCTTATTTGGCCACTCGAGTCTGAAAAGCGGCTGTGAGAACTAAAATAACAAAAAAAAAGAACTTTACGTGTAATAGATAAAAAGGTACTTCCTTGTCTGAAACACGTACTGTGGGATCAAAGTCCCATTGCGTCCAGCCCAGCTCCGCCAGCACCTCCTCTACTTGGGTGCTCACCCCAGGGAGGCTGTGACTTGCTCCAAGCCCTTGAGTTAGTAGGAAAGCCCTGACTTAGGACCCGAATCGAGTCCACCTTCCTCTCTTCTTGAACGCTTCTCCCTAAATAATTGGAAGCAATGCCTAGGTCTTTCTGTTTCTCCAGTAAAGTGTCCCTTCTTGCAGGGGAGAGAAGCCGTACTCCTGCGGTATATGCGGCAAATCCTTCTCCGACTCCAGCGCCAAGAGGAGGCACTGCATTCTGCACACGGGCAAGAAGCCCTTCTGCTGCCCCGAGTGCAGCCTGCAGTTCGCCCGCCTGGACAACCTGAAGGCCCACCTGAAGGTCCACAGCAAAGAGCAGCACGCGGCAGACGCCGGCAGCGCTTCCGGCAGCAGCAGCACTGACGAGGTCGGGAACATTCTTCAGCTGCAGCCGTACCAGCTGTCCGCGCCCGGGGAGCAGGAGATCCAGCTGCTCGTGACCGGTTCCGTCCACGACATCAGTTTCGTGCCTGGTCCCAGCCAGGGAATCAGCATCGTCGCCGCAGAGAGCTCCCCGGGCGTGACCGCGGCCCCCGCGGCCGGCCTCACCCTGCTCACGCCGCAGCCGGAGCAGCTGCGGGGTCTGATCCTGTCGGCTCAGCAGGAGCGAACGGAGCACATTCAGAGCCTCGGTGCGATGGGGGGCCCGATGGGGCCCTCACAGGCCGAGCCGGTGCACGTGATCGCGCTCCCCGAGGACACCCTGGACATCTTCTCGCCCATCAAGAACGAGCAGGGGCTCCAGCTGGCTGCTGCCTCGGGCCCGGTTCAGCAGCTGCCACTGCCGCAGGCGCCCACTGCCCCGCCAGCCCCCCACCCGGGGCCCCAGCCTGCACCCCTCGGCCAGGAGCCCAGCTGAGCACGCCGTGTCCCACGGCCACGTGAAGCCAGCCGTCTGCAACGTGCTCACTGTCCTGGAGACGCGACAGTGCCTCCTCCCGGCCACACGCGCGTGTCCACGTCCTGCCCCTGCGGTGTTGGGACGAAGCGTCTCAGCGTGGATGGATGGGTTCCCTTCCCACCCGCTGCATCTCTTAGGAGAGACGTGGGTGAATCTTCCTTGGGGGCCCTGATGCGGACTTTGGGTAAGGATTAAATGCCCACAGCATGGGCTTTGGTCTTGCTGACCTTTCCGGTTACATTTTTTATTTCAGAACAAAGGAAATCATGTTGGGTGAGTGGAGCAGAAAGGTTAGTCTGCTGTCAGCCTCTTCAGCAGCGCGAGTCTGGGGAGTTGTCAGTAACTTCAGTCTCCTAAGACGGAGGAAGTCACTCAGCATTTCCTCTTTGTGAGGGACAGGAGGGTCCTAGTGCCGTGTAGCAGGTAGATTCAAAGACATGTGAACTACATACTATTTTAACTCAGAATTTATATGACAAGAAACCATAAGCATAGAATTATTTTTTAAATTCTGAACTCAGCTTTTTTTCTGAGAAACATGGATTTACATATATTTTTTAAAAGCAGGTCATTGAAAATTTAAATATCTGATTAAAGTACATAATTGGCTCAAGACACCACGAATGAATTGTGAATCTCCATCAGCGACGACACTTGATCTTCCTGATGTAGTTGAGGCTTTCTCAATTATCTTGGAATATAAAATTTTATTCAGTGTAATTTAAAGTGTCAAATACTCTATTGAATTCTAAGTGATCTCTGAAAACTTTGATCTGTGTGTTGTGTCTAATAACTTTCTGGAGATGGGACCTTATAAACTTTTTGGGAAGTAGGTTAAATTCCACAAACTTGACAAGGCAATTTCAAAAGTAAATACCTTCTAGTCTCAAAAATAATTTGAGCCTCGGAGACTTAGTAGCCAGCATGTGTCTGCAGATGGATGAATTTTAAATAATGGTCAAAAGATAATGCTATGTTTGAGTTAAGTTTTCAACTCCAGCATATTTTATTGAATAGTTGGCTTTCTGTCAAACTGGTAGAGGATATTTGAGAAAAGAAGGTAAGTACTAGTATTTAAAAATTACTCTAACACTGGTGGAATGTAGAGGTGGCTGACCCCAAAATTGACAGGATTGGCACATCAGTTACTTTCATATTTTAGAGTCTTTGTTTTCTACCAGAACCAAGTAACTTTTATGGAGGTTCAGGTAATAGAGAATTCTTCAGGTTTGAGAGGAAGTGAAAGCATTTTTTTTTTTTTTACATATTTGCCAAGTTATATTTTATTGTATATAATTCACAAGATTTCCCATCTTATCTGTCAACTGAGAAAAAGTTCAGTCAGGCCTCAGCAGGGCCAAGATAAAGGCTTTACAAATGCAGTTTGACCGGGGTGTTGTTTCAGGTTCTTGATTTAGTCATTCGAACTTTATTGTAACCTTAGTCTTAAAATGCAAAGTGTTTACTACCTTTTCAGAACTTACAGGCCCACATTTCCTCCAGAAGATACATAGTATAAAAGTAAGTTTTTAACTGCTGGCTCTGGATAGCTGGATAATTTTTCAGGAAATAGGGTGACTTAACTCTAAGTTAAGTGTAACTGGCTTTATGACAGCCTACCTCTGCTATGGAAGAGAAATGTAAAATGAGCCACATAAGTAATTTTACATTTTCTGGTAGCCACAGTAACAATGTAAAAAGAAAGAGGTATAATTAATTTTAATAAAAGAGTTTATTAACACAGCATTTGCCAAATACTATTTCAACTTGCAAGCAAAATAAAAATTAAGATGTTTTACATTCTTTTTCTCATACCAAGTATTCACAATCTGGTGTGTATTTTTACACGTTCTGCACCCTCAGTTTGAATGCTAATGTTCATGGACATCCTTGATCTGTATTTAGAGTTCATAAAATTTACAGTTGAAAACCTAGATTCACCATATTCAAGTAGTTGCAGATATACTTAATTTTGTTTCAGTAACTGAAATGACCAATTTAAAAATTCATATTAAAATTAATTAGAATAAAAACCCAGTTCCTCGGTTGCACTAGCCACATTGCGTGTGCTCAGTAGCCATACGTGGGATCCTGTGTTGCGCAGCATGGGCCTACCTGCTTCTGGCTTGAGAGCCAGTCTCAGCCATAAAAATACCTTCCAGAAGAGTTCTGGGTTATTTGCTGTCAAAGGGAAACAAGAAAATGATAGTCTTATAAATCTCGCCTCTCTTCTGTGTCCCAAATACACGTTCCACCTCTTTGAATGAAATCACGGGTTTTAAAGGTCAGTGATTGTGCACCCGAAGGAAATGTCATGACATACAAATACTTCTGCTGTGTCTTTGAGAAATTGCTGGCTCAGTGTTTCACGACTCATTTTGTACTAAACTTGCACAGTTTTTCAAATTGCTTTAACAAGTGCAGAAACACAAAGCATCATTCTTGGGAAATAGAATGCGATGCCTCCAGGCCGCTGTGCGTGCTCTGTCGCTCTGCAGGGCGAGCGCTGGCTCTCGGGGGAGGGCTGGCCGCCACGGTGTGTCCTTTGTCAGTGCGCCTGCCCCTGTACTCTGCGCTTCCTCTCTGCGCTTCCTGCAGTTGGTTCCTACGTTGTCTGTGTCCTGAGCAGCCCGTTACATCAGCACGAGATTCTCATTACAAGTGCTGACGTCTCGGTTTTCACAAGTTGGAAGAGTAGTACTTGCCACATGGAGTCTTTATTCCGGCCCGGCCGGGAGTGGAGCCAGGAGCCGCGGGTCCGTCTCAGTGCCTCTGGGCTCCCCGCGTGTCCTGGGATTTGCCCAGCGCCTGAAGCTGGGGGACCCGGTCTCTGACCGTGGCTGGCGCGTTGGCCCGCTAGGGCTGCTCTAACAAATTGGTTTTCTTGAGTGGCTTAAACAGCAGAAGTTTCTCACCACGAGGAAGTTAAAGTAACCAAGTCCAGGTGTTGGTAGGACTGGCTTCTGAGGCCGCTCGGCCGCCCTTCGCTCCGTGTCTTCACGTGGTTTTCCTGTGCGCCCTACTCTCCTTGTGAGGACACCGTCATGACCAGGTTTTAACTTAGTCGCCTCTGTAAAGGTCCTGTCTCCAGATGGGGTCACGTTCTGCAATCCTGGGGGTCAGGATGTCAGCAGGAGTTTGGGAGGGGACACAGTTCAGCACTAGCGCCTGGCTGCTGGGACGAGGAGGGAAGCAGCCAGGGTCTGAGATAAGCCCGTAACCCATGGGGAGTGCAGTGTTTTTCTTCGTGACATTCCTATGAAGTAAGTAATATTACTGTGCCTCTTTTACAGATGAGAACATTTGAGGCCCAAACACAACTGAGGCAGGGCTGCCTCTCCCACCGTGTTGCCACACCAGGCTGCTTACCATCAGCCTGTCGAAGCTTTAAGCCGGATTTCTCTTTAGATATGATCTGCTTGATGGAGGACAAACTTCTGACTAAAATTGAGGGTCTGAAATTTTAGCACACAACCGTAAACTTTTTACATAAAATAATAACAGTAGAAGTTAGTCTTTCTCCTCCAGAAACGTAGTGACTTGCATATTAATGATCATACTAGTACTTTACTAATATTGATTTAAAACTTGATGGGAATTTATCAATTGGATAAAAGTTACTGGTAAAGTGAAAATGCCTTTACTAATATGAACCTCTGTAAGCCCCTTTTTCAAACTTCTGACAGGATATTTTGTGTTGAGGCCAGATTCGTTTTATTTTGGCTACCCTTATTTGTGAGTATTGCGTAGTTTCCAAACAAAGCCTAAATTCTTAAGAACTGAAAGAAAAGTCTTTGTCTTGCTTTTGGAAGCATTTGGTGTGCAGGAATGACCCCTATAAAAGCCCTTGCCTGCCTTTTATGAACAGCATGTATGAGGAAACGACCTCTAAGAGGAGCCGGAAACCACTGATGGGTTATCTTGCTTTCAAACTTGTCACACAAAATGAGCAACAAACACTTTTGTTGTGTGGAGATACATACTTATAATATGTCACACATAATAATACATCATTATTATCACTTGAAACAGAACACAGGAGAGCTTTTTTCTAAAAGTATCGTTAATGTGCAATCTTATGTTAGTTTCAAATGTACCTCACTATGGTTCAACAGTCCCCAGAATCAACTTAATACTGTGATTTCAAATTATTGTGCCCTTTCGTTCTCCTCCCCACCCCCACCCCTCCCCCAGGGTAACCTCTGGTCATGTTTCAGTGTCTGAGAATCTGTCCAGTAGGAGAGCTTTTAAACTAAAGCACAATCACAAGATGTAGGAACCTGAACACATTTAGGTAATAATAGCAACAGATCTTTGCTTTTGTTGTTAGAGCTCTAAGAAGAGTTCTCTATCTTTACATGACATATGGAAAGGGGAAAATTGAGCAGGGGAAGGTCAGGGAACATCCTTGGTTTTAGAGTGTGGATTTATTACGTACTTGTAATTCTTAACATTCATAACATTAAATATTTTAAATATGGATTTGAAGATTTTCCAGATAAATAGTTTGGCTCTTGGTTTTAGTTCATTCACATTACTTTTACCCTTATCAGATGAAAAGTGAAACAGAACCTAATTAGAGTTAAAAACAAAACTGCCTACCTTTCTGAAGCCCACCTCTCATAGGTGATTCCAGTGTGACGAAGTGGCTTCTTGACAACTGTTTCCTATGATCCTAGTGTTTAAAGAAAAATGCTCTCATAACAAAAATACGGGAAAGTACTTAAGCTGATCTTAAAAACCTGTTTGTATGTTTAACCTGTGTCCCTTGTATTGTCTTGGGGCCTACGAAGTCGTCATCCTTTGACTTGAGTAACAAAAGCAGCCGGTGGAGGGGTACGGTTGCAGGGAGGAGTAGGAAGGCATGAGGGGCCCAAATCTGTGCTTCACTGGCTCTTACCTGGAGCTGGGGGTTGTCTGACACGCCCACGCCCAGTCTGTCACCAGTTATGTCACTTTCACCTCGACCTGTGCTTTGAGTCCATCCACTGCCCCCATCCCCGCTGGCAAGGCCTGCACCACCATGTTCCCTCGCCCGGGTGCCTGCCGAGGCCTGACGGACGCTTTCCACTGCTCCCCACAACCCTTTTCCCACTGGAAGTGGTGACCTGTTCGGCTCAGCGCTGTTGCCTTCACATCAAGCCGTGTGCCTTGCTAAATGAATGGATATTGTGTTAATTAAGGCATATATCCTGTCTGCTCAAAATCCTCCTACATTTCCCACCACACTCAGAATAAAACTCCAAGTCCAGCTTCCCCTTGGGTCCCTTCCCCACGCCCACTTTCAGCCACGCTGACTTCCTCACTACTCCCCAAACGCACCTGTTTCTCTCGGGTTTGAAAGGTCTGTGCCCTATTCTCTGGCTCATGTTTGCTCATCTATCAGAATGCAGTGTAAGTGTCACGTCCTCAGGCAGGCCCTCCCTGACACTTCGACCTCAGTGAGGCCACCCTATGCTATCTCTTCACAGCACCCTACACTTTGGACTCCGTAATTATTTTTACACCAGGGACTGTGTCTGCCCGGTTCCACTGCAGGCACAGCTCCTGGCCCAGGCTCATGGGTGTGTTTGAACCCGTGGACCTACCGGTGCAAGGCCATGTTCCCCGGGCGGCTTAGCCACACCACTCGCCCTGGTAGGGACCTAGTTTCCGCCTCTGGGCTCAGGAGAGTTGGGAGGTGAGGTGGGGAGAGCGGGATGGCCCTGCAGGAGGAGGGAAGGGGGTGTGGATGGGAGGAAAGGCATTCCGTCTTCCTGGCTCAGGTCTGTCACCTAGGCCCCTGCCAGCATGATCACTTGCAGAAATCCTAGAATGGGATTCTTTTAAAATGACTTCTCAGGTATCAGCCACTTATCAGATCCAATACGAATTGACCACTGTGATTGGGCCAGTATTTTTAGTTCTGTATACACACATTAATTATATGGATCATGACACAAATTAAGATTCTAATTAAGAAGAGAAATGCTGGTAGATCAACCGTGAATTTATTCTTTTATCTTTGAGAGAGGCCTTTTTTTCTTTTTTCCTTTGGAGAAACCTGATGAATAGAGCTTGGTTTGGGTCTTCAAGCCTGCACTTTTCTTAGATTCACCAACACTGAATAGTAGGGTTTTTAGAATTGAAATGGGCAGGAGAGGTTGAATAATCAAACTCCCTCCAGTTGAAAGTAATAAGACCAAAGCACGGTGGCTGATGGCTTTTCCAGGGTCACAGCAAACAAGCGTGAAGCAAAGTGGGAACCTGCCAGGCCTTCTGTACGCAGACCAATGTGTCCCCCATTGATTTATACACCAGCCGGTGTCTTTCAATTAGCATAAAGTGAAATTCCAAGTCAGCAGTTTTTTTTTAGCATTGATGAAGTTGTCATAGTTCTGTGATCTTTTTTAAAGACAAATTTTACCATTTGCCATTCAGAGGTCCACACACCCCCTGCCTGGCCACAACTTGCGGCCACCACAAGCCCTGAGGAAAGGCCCAAACCGCATGGGGCCTTCGCAGATGCAGGAAGTAGGAGCAGCGGCTTGTTTGCCATCTGTTAGCAAAAGGGAAGTGGGGTGATTCTAAAGCCTGGCCACCTGTTTATAGTGGACATTAGAACTTTGCATAGTGTGTTTAAATACGGGTGTGTCAGGTACCTGGCAAATCCATTTCTCGCCGATGTGGGTCCCTCTCAGGAGCTAGCATGGGCCCACTGGGAGGCCGACGCGGCTTCCTGAGTGGGACCCGCCGGGTTCCCTGCCGCCCCAGGCAGGGGGCAAGTGTTTCCCCCTCCTCCCCTCCCTGCCCGCGGCTGCCTCGGGCCGGGCCGGGAGCGGTGTGTTCCTGCTTACTGGGTCTGGGAGCGTTTCCAGACAACTGCGAAGTGACAGCAAAGAGAAAGGAACAGCCAGAGAGCTCCTGCCGGTCCCTGCTGGCCCAGGAGCGCAGCCCGACCCTTTATTCCCGTTTTCGGAGTGTTTCTAGCGTGTCACTTCCTCTAAGCAGAAACAGCCTATGCTGCCAACCTTTCAACTGTCACGTTGAATCCGAACTGGCCCGCGGAGTCCAGAAAGACCGGGGCCGCAGACGGGGCGGGGCACAGCCTCCGGGTCCCTGTCGTCCCCGGGGAACTGCTGGGGTCCTTCGGATCGCGATCACCCGCAGACGCGCAATAAATGAGACCCGATGTTCTATTAACACTGTCAACCCGTCGATGGCCTCGGGCAGGTGTCCTCGCGGTTTCCTTACCAGGCGCAGGAGGAGGTCGACCGCCCGTCCCCTCACAGCCCCGGGGACCCTCACTCCGGGGCCCCGTGCGGAGCCGCCCCCGCCCCCGCTGGCCCCCCCTTCCCGGGACGCGGCGCGAGCCGCGGGGCGCGAGAGCCCAGGACCCTGACCGGCCCTGCGGGCGGCCCCGGCAAGCGTCCGGAAGGCGGCGCGGGGCGGCGGCCACGCCCGGGAGGGACCTGCTCTGCGGCAGCGCGGCCGGCCCGAGCTAAATAGATGCTGATGAATGCTAATGTATGCTAATCGATGCTAACGAGGCGCGGAGGGGCCTCCGCGGGCCGCGCGCCGCCGAAGCCAACACCCCGCGGGACTCCGGGCGGCCGCCGGCGCCGCGCCGCCTCCCTCCGCCCCCGCACGGGGCGCCCACCGGCGGGAAGGGCCTCCCGGCCGAGGAGCCTCCTGGTGAGTCGTCCAGCGGCGCCCCGGGAAAGCGCCCCGGGCCCGGCCGGCCCGGCCCTCGCGGTCTCCGAGGCCACGGGCGCGAGCCCCGCGCCGCTCCGCGCGCCCTCCTTCCGGCGCGGCCGCGGCCCCCGCCCCGAGGGACCCCTGCCCCGGGCGCCCCCTCGCTCCCGCGCCCCCGACTGCCCCCCGCCGACGCCCCGAGGGGAGCGCGCCCCGCCGAGGGAGGGGGCCGGGGCCGACCGGCGGCTGTCGCCCCCGAGCTGCGGCAAGTCACGGGGAAGCGTTCCGACCGCAGTGAGTCAGGAAGAGACCCGGGCGTCTGTCACCCAGTTCGTCGCAACATCCTCTGCCGTTGAGGCGCTTGTGGTGGAAAACGGATCCTCCGCAGTTACACACGTTCCCCGACCCCAGCAGGCGGTCGGGAGTGCCACGCGGAAAACTTTGTCCGGGGCATGAGACGCACCCCACACCCAGCGTGGCACCGAGGTCAGGGAGGCGCCCCAGCGCAGGGCGTGGGTGGTGGGGCAGCCGTGGGTGTGCCCTGTCCCTAGGTCCGTCCCTGTCCGCTAGCAAAGCTCTCCCCTGGGGCAGCCCGCCCTCCCCACGTGTGCGAAGCTCCCCGGCGCGCGGCCTCCGGGGCCTGGGGCTGCCGGAGCGGACCGCCGGCTCCCTGGGCCCCAGAGGCGAACCAGGGCCTGGAGATCCCTGGACAGGGAGGCTGAGCTGGAGACCCCCTGGCTGCCCTCGTGCCCGCCGTGCCAGGGCTGCTCGCTGGTTTTCTGTTTGCAAATCGGTCACGTTTCACTTGGAATGGAAAGGATGGGGCTGTCTCGGGAGCGGCCTGGGAGTGAGGAGGGGAGGGGACCGGGCGCCCCCTGGGGACCCCAGCCTGCCCTTCCCTCCCCCGTTCTCCTCTGTCCTCGGTTCTCCAGCCTCTTCTCTTCCCGCCTTCTCTCCAGCAGCCACCTGCCTCTGCCTGCCTGCTCCCCTCCCTGGGAGCCCCAGGGGCCTCCATGGCTTCACCAACCCCTGCAAACCCAGCACATGCCCACTTTGAGAGCTTCCTGCAGGCCCAGCTATGCCAGGAGGTGCTGAGCAGCTTCCAGGGTCTGTGTGGGGCCCTAGGGCTGGAGCCTGGCGGCGGACTGCCCCAGTACCACAAGATCAAGGCCCAGCTCAACTACTGGAACGCCAAGTCGCTATGGGCCAAGCTGGACAAGCGAGCAGGCCAGCCTGTCTACCAGCAGGGCCAGGCCTGCAGCAACACCAAGGTGGGTACATCGTGCCTGAGATGGTGCTTGGGGAGGGGGTATGTGGAGGGAGACAGGCACCGTGCCCACACGGCCTTGTGTTCGCAGTGCCTGGTGGTGGGTGCTGGGCCCTGTGGGCTGCGGGCTGCTGTGGAGCTGGCCCTGCTGGGAGCCCGTGTGGTGCTGGTGGAGAAACGCACCAAGTTCTCCCGACACAATGTGCTGCACCTCTGGCCCTTCACCATCCATGACCTGCGGGCACTCGGCGCCAAGAAGTTCTATGGGCGCTTCTGCACGGGCACCCTGGACCACATCAGTGAGCACCATGTGGTGGCCTGGAGAGGTGGGTGGGTGGGCCCGGGCCTGTCCCCAGGCCCGTGCGGGCTGCTGGGCTATCCATGGGGCAGGGGGCTCAGGACTCAGGCCCAGCCCTGTAACTGGGCAGCTGGGCGGTGCCATCCCTGAGACCTTCTGCCCTGAGCGGGCACACACAGGCAGGCTGCCCCTAACGCCTTCTCCCTTCCAGGCATCCGGCAGCTTCAGCTGCTTTTGCTGAAAGTGGCTTTGCTCCTGGGGGTGGAGATCCACTGGGGTGTCACTTTCACTGGCCTCCAGCCCCCTCCCCGAAAGGGTAAGTACGTCTCTCTCAAGGACATCTTGGCCTGTGAAAGAACTGGGGTGGGTGGGCATCAGCTGAGCTCCCCCTTTCTAACAGAGTGGCCTTGGGCAAACCCTAAGCCCCCTTGTGAGCCTGGAATACTTGCCCCCTTAGCCGCCGTCCACAGCTGTGGCGAAGGTGTATTTGGGAGACGCCACCTCATTGCTTTTTGACCTAGGACGCCCTTTACACATGTATTTAACTGTCTCACTGGCTCGTCCTGAGCAGACAGGGACCCCTTCCGACTCCCACACCTTTGTGCCCTCACACCCTCTGCCCCAGGGAGCGGCTGGCGGGCCCAGCTTCAGCCCAACCCTCCAGCCCAGCTGGCCAGCTATGAATTTGCCGTCCTCATCTCTGCTGCGGGGGGGAAATTTGTCCCTGAAGGTAAGCGACCCATTCCCTCCAAGAAGCCAGCACCCTGGGCTCCTCCTGGGCCTTCTGAGGCGGTGATACCCTGTCCTCCTCCACTACCCACCCGCCTCACATCTAGGCTTCACTGTCCGAGAAATGCGTGGCAAACTGGCCATCGGGGTCACAGCCAACTTCGTGAACAGGCGGTCGGTGGAGGAGACGCAGGTTCCCGAGATCAGCGGCGTGGCCAGAATCTACAACCAGAAGTTCTTCCAGGGTCTGCTCAAAGCCACAGGTCAGGGCCTGCCACAGGGCCGCTCCCCACCGGGGTCTGCTTCTTCCCCTCCCCTGCAGACCCGCCCACAGTCCCGGGAGTCCCACCCTTTGCCACCTTTGTGGCCTTGGCAACAGAGAACCTGAGCCTGGGGTTCAGCAGGCACAGCCCCACACAGCCGTCCTGTGTGACAAAGCTTGGAAATCTGTCACAAGGCGCATGGACTGGGCTTTGTGATCCCTTAGATGAGCTTTCACTTGACAGCACGTGAACTCAGGGTGAAAGCAGCCCTTGAAGAAGATGCCCTGTGTTTACTGTGGCTGCGCGCGCCCCAGATGAGCACGCAGGCTGTCCTCCGCCCCTGTGACCCCGCGGTGCAAGTCCCCACCGCCGGCCACCCCCGTCTCTTTGCTCCGCGTCCTGAGGCCTCCTGGCCTGGGACAGATGGTCCTTTGTGCCACCAGGACTCATGCCCTGTGTCAGGGACACCTGCTGCGGTCTGAGCTGTGATCTGAGTGCCCGGAGGCCAGGCGCAGCTCGGGCTGGCAGAGGTTTGCAGAGGGGATGCGTGGTAAGGAGACCCATGTGCCCGGTCCTGTCCCCGCAGGCATTGATCTGGAGAACATTGTGTACTACAAGGACGACACCCACTACTTTGTGATGACAGCCAAGAAGCAGTGCCTGCTGCAGCTGGGCGTGCTGCGCCAGGTGGGCGGGGGACCGGGCCCGATGGCCTCCCCAGTGGAGGAGCCTCTGCCCTGAACTCCATCCCAGCACGTTCCCTCCCTGGGGATTCACATGGCAGCAGTGGAGTCACACTATGCGCCTGTCCCCTTCTCAGCCACGGGCCAAGTGCGCGCCTCCCAAGGGCAGGGTTTCTCCCAGTCTCGTTTGCTTACTGGCTAGTCCCAGTGCTCAGAGAGGCGCCTAGGGTGTAGAAAGCTCCCAACAACTGTTTGCTGACAGAGCTAGCTGCACGCCTACTGTGTGCTGGTTACCGTGTTGCCAGCTTTACTGCTCTCAGGTATGTCACCTCTGACTGGCCAGGAAAGTGAGGCTGCTGGGAGTTCAGTGACGTGTCTGCAGCGAGGGTACCATACTAATCATACGGCCTTGGGCACAGCAGGGCCCAGACTGCTGGCTGTTTTGTGAGTGCCGAAAAGCGGCTGGAGCCTGGAGGCAGAAGGGTCCGGTTGGAGGCCCAGCCCAACCTGCAGCGGCTGTGTAGTCTGGGGAAGCCCCTCTTCGGGGTCTCGGGATGTGCACCTTCTAGACGCAAGGGCGCTGCCCAGGGGCCCTGCTGGTTCTAGTCTGTGGTCTTGTAGGACTGGCCGGAGACCGACCAGCTGCTGGGCAGCGCCAACGTGGTGCCAGAGGCTTTGCAGCACTTTGCCCGGGCTGCTGCAGACTTCGCTACCTGTGGAAAACTGGGGAAGCTGGAGTTTGCCCAGGACGCCCACGGGAGGCCTGACGTCTCTGCCTTCGACTTCACCAGCATGATGCGGGCAGAGAGCTCTGCGCGCGTGCAGGAGAGGCATGGTGCCCGCCTGCTGCTGGGGCTGGTGGGGGACTGCCTGGTGGAGGTGAGGGGGTCGGGTGTCTCTGATGGGGGCAGGGCTTCCTGGCGCGTGGGAGAGGCGGGGACTCCTTGGGAAGAGGGCAGCTCAGCCCGTGGCTGAGGGAGGAGGCCGCCTCGTGGGAGGCCGGGGTGAACGAGTTCTGCTGTGGGAG